ATCGATGTTTCTAACTCTCTATCCCTCTCTCATCCTCTCTGTGAAAAAGTAATAAATAATAATAAAAAAGAACAGAGGAACTGACAAATCAGACTAATTTGAAGCCCTTGATTCAGAGGTAGCCTCATGTGTAAGATGAGCAGTCAGCTAACTCATGTCATTAGAGAAGCACTTCCACATGAAATCTCTCTCAGCCTTCTTGCTCGAGACCGTTCCATTAGACATCCATTCTTTTGAGCATTGTTCAAAAAAAAAAGTAGCCCGCGTTCACAGAAAGTTGGTTTGGTATACAAGGAAGTGTTTAAATGTAGGGTGACTGCTTGGCAAGAGTAATATAGACCGAATTCAAGCACCACAGGAGGGATTGGATAGGATGGGCATTCAGCAGTGTCTACCAGGGAGTCTTCAAAGTCCAACTAGACACTATATTTATGGGACAACATAAGCCACTTAGCCCCACTTCTTGGGGGAAAAAAGTGCGTCTTATGGTCCGAAAAATACGGTAAGCCGCTGAGCATCAGATTCACTTAGAAGATGTAAGATAGGAAACACAGCTTGAAGCAGGCAGCATTGATATTTCTCTTCGGTGGGATTGTCCTTACAGCAGTCTACATAGCAGTCAAAGAGCTAAACTTCTTTGTCCCCCTCGGGTGATAGTTTAGGTGCAAGAAGATGAGAACCGTACCATTGGGTATGAGATCCAGCTTAGCTTCTGTGGCTCACAGGAGCCAATGTCTCATGTAAATTTGCATAGATATTTCCCATGGTCTCTGCAAAAATAGGCCCACGTACAAGACTCATCAAATTCACAAATTCTCCAAGCTAAGGACCTTCATTTAATATTTATAGATCCTCCAAGTTCAGTGTTAACTTCTCAATCAAGGATCACTTTACCTTAAACAATTGTGTCTAGGAATACAATTTATATCCCACCTATAATAGGTGTCCAAAACAGACCTAGAATGTTAACACAGGTAAAATTTGCCTACAGAGAAGGAAAAAGAATTTTGTAAATCCCCCAATCTGGAAATTTCACTCCCATGTTCACGATTTTAAAAGAATAAGTGCTTATCTTTTTTAGAGGTGAAAGGTAATTCAGCTATATTCCTCCATTAATCTACTCAGCTATTAAGTATTGAGCATCTCCTCTGAGTGAAGTCCTAAGTGCAGGACTCAGCTGTTTTTCTGTGTTGCTTTCATATGGAGTATTGAAATGTGAAATGACTGTAAGGTATGACATTAACAATGTGTAAAGGTAGTTGACATACAGTAATATGCTGTGATATTTTATACATTTGTTTCCCATTCAAGCATATACACTCCTAGAGGGCAGGAATCATGTTTTTTCATCCATTTTCTCAGTGCCATTATTATGGCTGACCCATATTTGGTACTTAATATTTGTTTATAAAATGAGTTATCTCAGTGAGTTTTAGGTGGAAGGACAATTTGATTAAAACCTAGTGATACTTTCTCATTAACTGAACTAAAAATAGCTGGTGGAATTTCAGAGTTAGCTCAGTGGCCCAGTTCCCAGGTTTCTTTGTAGTGGTGGCTGCAATTTCATCGAGCAAATCTAAAGGGTGACATAGAGACTAAACAGGATCAGCAGTGAAATGTAACAGTTGAGATTACAAGTTCTGGATAGATTCTCATGCTGGTACAAATCTTTGCTCTACCACAGGTGCTATCTGACCTTGGGCAAGTCATTTGGCCACTCTAACCCTTAATTTTCTTCTGTAAATGTGGAAAACAAATTTATTGGAGTGTTGTTACAAAGATTAAACACAATAACATATATATAGTATCTGCCACAAGTCAATGATTATAAAATAAAATGATTTATTTAATGAATCTCTCTTATTGGTACCAGAATCAAAATTAGTTGCCCCTTGTCCAGCCAGTGTGGCTCAGTGGTTGAACATCAACCTATGAACCAGGGGCCACCATTCAATTCCCAGTCAAGACACATGCCCGGGTTACAGGCTTGATTCCCAGTAGGGGGATGTGTAGGAGGCAATCAGTTGATGATTCTCTCTCATCATTGATGTTTCTATCTCTCCCTCTCCCTTCCTCTCTCTGAACTCAATTATAAAAATAAAAAAAAGAATTCATTAAAAAATGAATAGGTCCTGAACAGACCACAAAAAATATCCAACTATGCTTTTTATAAAATGCACATGCAAAATGTTCCCATATTGGAAAATTAAGAAGTGGTTTAACATTTGTATCTTATTTTTTTCTTTGGCAGACAGAGGGATTTAAATACCCCAGGCCTTCCTCCGTACCACCTTCTCCTACAGGGTCCCAGTTCTCCAGTCCTCAGAGCAGTGATGTGGAAGATGAAGAAGATGAAGATGAGAGATACAACGAGGAAGAGGAGGCGGAAAGGGATCGGTTAAATATTAAGTCGCCATTTTCTCTGGGTCATGTTCCTTATGGGAAGAAGAAGCTGCATGGTGAATATAAGAACTGAATTCCACCCTGGTGAAGCGCGAGCTCCTTTAGTGAGAGCAGAGTAAGAATGATTATTTAAAACAATGAAAATGCCGCCAGTTTCATGGCCTTCTTCTAAGAATCACAATGGGATTTATTGCTGCCTAAAATGTGGAGACTAAGTGAATAGCAATTTTATAATTTAAAATAAAATCCAAGCTATTTTCTTAGATTCCTCTCCCTCCAGTAAATTTAAACATGAGGAAGAATGTTAATTAAAGAAGGAAGACTGGGAGTGTTTTTTTTTTAAATGGTTAATTTAAGCAATAACAATTTTTACTAGTATTTTTAAAATTATCAGCACCATAAGCCATTGCTTATTATTTATACAGCTTTCATAGTTACCAAACAGGTCTCTCATCTTTCCCCTCCCCAAAGTTTCTGTTCTCAGCCATGAATGTGCACTACCTATGTATTTTAAATAACTGTTCTTTAATTATTATTTTCATTTTCACATGAGTCAGAAACATGAATTTATATCTAGCTTTGCAGGCCATCAAAAACCATAATAAAGTAGTTATCCTAAATCCAGATATTGATACATATTCATGCATATTTACAAGGGCACTTCTCAAATGAATGATCGGAAGATGTTTCCACCTGTACTGTAGCATCTGACTATAACAATTTTTGATTGATTAAAAGAAAAACTTATTTGAAAAGTTGGTTAATCATCTACAGATGATAATTTGTTAAATCCAAATGAATAAATATATCAATGGTTAAAGATTTAACTTTCATTGGTAATGTTTTGCTTAAAATTCTTTTAGACATTTTAATAAGATAACATGTATAAAGCATCTGCTACCTAATAATGCCTTCCAAAGGACAAAATTTTAAATATCTTGTAAAAATAACAAAAAGAAAATTTTTAGTCTACTTTATAATAAGGACAGTGTCTTTAGCACATTCATGCTGTTCATAGAGACCTTGTTGAATGTAATTAAGCACCTTTATGTTTTAAATGTAACTAAATCTAAATTGGCAGAAACAAATCTACACTGGCACTTGGATTGTTTTTTGTCACAACTGAGTGTTGTTACTGAGTATTATTTACATCACAGTGAATACCTTAGTTGGTATCTCGGTTGGTCCATTGAGGCTCAAAAAAGGTTTTGGTTTTCTCAGTGCTATAATGTTGATGGCAACAGAGGGAAAATAGCAACGATGGTGGGTCAGTTAGTTCAAGACCAGCTAGCAACCATAATCCAGCTCTCCCACTGCCCCATTGTTAGGAAAAAGTAGTACAGTACATACAAACAACAAATCAGGCCAAACTGGAAGACAATTGCAAGCTCAGCTCATGTAGAGGTTCAGAAAAAAGGGCAATAAATTACCTAAAGCTCAACCCTTGAATAATGCCCTACGGATGCCAATTAACTCAGTATCTGCAGAGCAATTTGGAAGGTCTTCATGGAAGATCAGAAAAATATGAGATGGACTTGTATTACAATACTAATGCTCTTTTGCTGAAGTACCAATAAGATCTTATGGTGAAAAAGGAGTTTCACTATTGAATAACCATAAAAATATATCCCTGGTAAAGTGACTTACTGTATGTATTCAAATGATACTCTTGATTGGTAATTGGTAGGGTCACTTATGAGCTATATAATAAAATATGCTTATAATATAAAACTTTTAAATTCAAGTGCTTTTTACAAAATGAAAGAAGAGTCCTCTGATTAGAAATGAGTACAAATGAGAGTACACATGGAAACTAACTGATTTGCAAACACCTGGTTTTGAGCATCATGTGTCAGGGTCCGAATTTCTACCTTGCACCAGACCCTCTGTTCAGACAGCTGCTGCCACTTGATTCCTTCCCCTAGTCCCAATCATTTATTGTCCTTTCCCCGAGATTAACAAATCCTGGTGATGAGGAGCAAACAGAACTTTTTGAGATTCTGTGTCTAGGCACAGTGCCTATTACACAGTAGGTGTATAAAGGAATAATACTCTTACTGGGAGAAAGAGGTACAAAAACTATGCTTTTAAAGAATGTAGGTATTCAGCAGGTGGAGGACAGGAACTATAGGAAGCAGTTTGTGTGTGCTTGACCAGCTGACAGCAAGACATTTCCTTCCATGGTAAGAGTTAGGGTTAACAGAAATGGTTTTACACACATAGATGGGAATATAAAATATTGCAAGTGCAATACTATTAGTTTTCCAGGGCATAGGGGCACTAAGAAAAGGAACTTGCCAGGTGTATGTGTGTGTGTTGGGGGGGGGGGGGAAGAGGAAGGGGGTATCCCAAGAGGTTTCATAGGATGAGCCTAACTTTTTTATATATATATATTTTATTGATTTTTTTTACAGAGAGGAAGAGAGAGTTAAAAACATCGATGAGAGAGAATCATCGATCAGCTGCCTCTTGCACACGACCCACTGGGGATGTGCCTGCAACCAAGGTACATGCCCTTGACCAGAATCGAACCTGGGACCTTTCAGTCCACAAGCCTATGCTCTATCCACTGAGCCAAACCGGTTTCGGCAGATGAGCCTAACTTTCTGTGAAGTAATACGGAGATACACTGCCTGCTTCACATGGCAGTTGTAAAGATCAAATCAAAACAGAAACGAACTCTTCCCAAAGGAACTTACAGTCCAGAATCAGGAGACTAAACAGGCTGCATTCTCAACTCCCTTCTCCTGAGGCTGAAGTACAATGATGTAACTCACGGTTGACAGGATATAGACTTTCATTTCTCACAACCAGGTCAAGAAAGAAATGTGAATTGGAAGCTTAATTTAAAGTCAGAGCCTCTTCTTCGTCTTCTCTTCCCTCTCATGATCCCAATGGTGGTGTGAGGGGAGAGGAGGCATCCTCTGGGGGAGACCCAGGGAAACAAAGGGTAATTGAGAACCCACACCAGAGGCTATGTATGTCAACAACGCTGAGCTAGCCACAGGGGAGATAGGAGAGAGGGGCAAGAGCAACTGGAACTGTGCTAAAAGTGGCTCCAAAGTCCGACCTGGAGGTGGGGTGTTCTAGTGCACACACCAGAGGCAGATATTTCCCAATTTTAAAGTCCAAGCCGCACAATGTGAAAAAGGTTGATCCCTGATCATTTGTTCATTTCGGTGTGGAAAAACCACACACACACACACACACACACACACACACACACACACACCAGAAATAAAAAGGATTGCAAAGAGCAAACTGGGCCTAGGGGCCTTTATGCAATGACAGTGCAAATCAGCATATCTGTACAGCAGCAGAATTCTGCTCCTTGTAATACATGGAGCTGGTAGTATTTTAACTGATCATTTAGACAGCTTTTAGAAACTCTGTTTGGGGGCAAAATACTTGAGATTGTTTTAGTTCACCGTTGGGAGAATTACTTCATAAGATAGACTTTAAAAGTGTTTTGGGAATAGCCCTGGTCGATATGGCTCATCTAGTTGGAGCCCGACCCATACACCAAAAGGTTGTGGGTTTGATTTCTGGTCAGAGCACATTCCTAGGTTGCAGGTTTGGTCCCAACCAGAAAGTTGGGAGCGAATATGGGAGTCAACAAATAGATGTTTCTTATTCTCTCTCTCTCTCCTTTCCTCTCTCTAAAAATCAATAAACATTTTTAAAAGGTCTGGGAATAGACATAATGTTTAAATAGCCAATATATGCAAATCTATGTCAGATGAGTAAATAATTATCTGTAAACTGGATATATGCACTGTCTAGAAAATCTACTTTAAAATCAAATCATAATTAATGACAGGTGCCTACTATGATGCCACACAGATTTCTTTAATGCCAGCATATTTTCGATGTTACATAAACTTGAATATAGTTGCATTTTGAATTGTGAAACAAGTTATAGATAATCCTTATAAGCAGGGTTTTGTTATTTAACACAATCAAATTATAATTCCAATTACAGACATTCACATAAGGATATTCTTTAGCTACTGAATAATGGCTATATATTGGTGAGAAAAAGAACTAACAATACTTTCTAGTTATGACATTTATCAATGACAACTTTCAATTAATTAGGTCAAAAACAAGTTGGCCATATCGTGTTCACAAATAAATATATCACTATGCTTGTTGTAGGTGTATGTGTGTGTATATTCTTCAGATAGCATTGAACCCAAGTTGACTTTAAAAAGAAGTAAATTAGACATTATACCATGCATCATCAGGGTGTCTTTATATAATGTTTTGATGTCAAATGAAGCTTAAAGTTCTAGTCCATTGGAGTAAGCAGTCTTTGAGTGTGTTTAGCCATGGAAAAAATGGGTTACCACCAAAAAACTGGGATACAGAGGGACAGAGTGTGCCTCAGCTGCTTATTTTCCAGTAACTTTTAGATCCATGTTTCTAAACTGAATTCAGGGAGAGCACAAGGGGGAGCTCTAAGCTTCCCAGCCTCACCGAAGGGAGATCCCTCTCCCAGCCATGGCACTGAAGTGTTCCAATCACAGGGCTTCATTCCTGTCCATCCCAGCCCCCTCTCCTGCATAACTAACTTCTAGATGAACTGCTAAGAGAATCACACTCTACTTTCTCATCCCGCCCTGCCTTCCCCTACCCTCCTTGGAGGTGGGAAAGGGGGGACAAGGAAAAGGAGAGTCCCTACTGAGTGACAAGACAACGCAAGTTGGGTAACAGACGAGAAAACCAACAACTAATGATATTAAATCAAAAGGGAATTTGTTGTAACAAAAAGAACACCATAAAGAGTACTCAGTCTTATAAATCTAAAAAAGTTCAAGAGTAAGACAGATGGTGACCTAAGACAGAAGAACCTGAAGCAATAATAATAATAATAATAATAATAATAAAAGGCAATGATATTCCCAGCCAGGAATTCCATTTTACTTTTGCTTCCAGAAGAATAAAACTAGTTGTGCCTGTTCCTAAGGCTGCAAATGAAGCAGAAACGGTTCACGAGCTTTATTTACACACTCATGTCTTCAACAAGAACAGAACTGTGACTGCATTCAATTTGTTGCGTTTTCACAAGTTCAGAAGACTGTCATCCAGAAATCTGGTTGGATCAAGGTTTTCTTCTCCAGCTGTAAGAACAAAATATATAAAAAATGGACATACTTTCCATGGTTTAATAATAATAAAAAGTGAGAAGCCATAATCTCCTAAGTTATGTTAACTCATGCACTCTGCTACTGAAAATTTTAAAAAAGAGAGGATTTGATTAATTTAGTTTTAATTTTTCCTCTCAGTGTGAACGTTGCACCTCCTCTTGGCCTAGAGAAAGCTGACTAATGTAGTGAAAAGCACACAGGCTTAGAATGAGATCTGTCCTGTATCTATTAGGGTGAACCGTAAGAAACTGCTGCGTTTGTAAGTTTAAGGAAGATTGGCTTTCAGCAATTTCATTGGTTCAGCCTTTAACAGTGAGCAATTGGACTTGTGATTATTTAAAATTCTTTAGGCCTCCAGTTTTTCAACTATAGAATAATACAGTTGGACTTTGAGCTCTTTCGGTTCTAAAAGGAATAAAGGTTACAATAGGCTACGGGCTGGGTAATTCATATAAAATTCCCCCGTCTTTCCAAGGAAATAGATTTATGTTCTTAGTACTCATTTTAATAAGAAATATACTGGCCTTTAAATAGTCAACATTTTGTGAATTTCGGGGAGAAAGGAGGAGAGGAGGGCAAATATTAATTATTAAAAAAACAAACAAACAAAAAAAAACACCTGAATTCATAAAGGCAACTTTGTTGCACTCAACACAGAATCCCAAAAGTAATCAAAGCTTCTCTGTCCTGCAGCTGAAAGAGGTCACTATGCTGGTACCTTCTTGGGGTTTCTGCAAGGAAGCCAACAGCAGAGCCGCTGCCTCTGGGAGAGTTAGTCGGGCCTTTGGACTTCGTCTTTCTGGAGACACAAAAATGTATAAAGATCCCATTAGTATTTAACTACTCACAGATTAATCCTGCCGCATTATACTATGACACTAGAAAAACCTCTATGAGACAGATTTGTGATCCCTCCGCAAAGGGTCCTTACGCAGAAGACTGATTTTTATAAATTGAAATATTTCACACTTCCCGTGGACATTACTTACAATTGGTTGTGTTGTATATTGCAGGGGATGGAAGAGAAGGCAAGCTATACATGACACAGAACTTCATGAAAGCAAGGAGGATGAAGGGAAGGAGCCCATGAGAAATGTCTCCCTTCGGAGCTTAATAGGGGATGTCTGGGCAGAAAGGTGGACACGTGACTCTGCTGGAAGCCTGGACAACCTCTTCTGTCATTCCTTCCGCAGCAACTTGAGATCACCCACATCCTAGGCCACGTGTGAGCCAATTATTTGACGGAAAGAATGCCTATCTGCTAAATGTTCAAAATTATGTCAAGTCCAAGTAGACAGAAGACAAAAAACATCCTGATTCAACACAAACCGTTATTTTTAATTTGGGAGCAAGTGAAGTCAGAAAACATAGCTTACCCTGGTAAAGAAAATAAGCTTAATTACACTGCAATATTGAAAAAGGTGAATGAATGTTTGTTAAGCATCTACAGGTGGTGAACACAGAGTTTGTTTTTCAAAATAAATATACTTTTTAAATTTCCTTTTTTTAGAGAGAGAGAGAGAGTAGAAGAAAGGGGAGAGAGAGAGAGAGAGAGAGAGAGAGAGAGAGAGAGAGAGAGAGAGAGAGAGAGAGAGAGAGAGAGAGAGAGAGAGAGAGAGAGAGAGAGAGAGAGAGAGAGAAGCACGACACACATGGATTTGAGACCCAGTTGGGTCAAACTGCAATCCAGGTAGGTGTCCTTGACCAGGAATGAACCCTGACCCTTCTGTGCACCGGCCGACACTCTAACCATTGGACCATACTGGCCAGGGCAAAGTAAATATACTTTTTAATTTTTAGCATTTCAGTCTTCAAATCTTACCAAAACTCGTTGTATTTCTATGGTCCAGTAGCATGGAAAGGGTTATCATGAAAAGAAAAATGGTCCCTATAGCCTCCATTTAACAGTTTCTGGTTTGGAACATTTGATAGCTCTTTCTAGTGACACAAGAGGCATAGATTTGAAGTTTCTAGGTAAATCACTATTTTAACAACAACAACAACACAGTGTTTAAGAGGAACCTGTGGGAAGGTCCTGTCACAGCGGGGAAGCACATTTTGGGAGAAGCTGTATAGTTTCCTGCCCCTCCTCACCCTCCTGAGCTGAAGCCGGGGCCTTGGGTAAGGCTTTCCGCGCTCCGGGGTGGCCAGAGGCACACTCCCAGCAGACTCCAGGGAGGACGGTCCCCCGCGGCCCCTGCGGCCAGTCCCCCCGGGAGCGCCTCCTTCCTTCTGCGCCCAGTCCGCTCGCTGCAGCTCCCGTTCCCTCCCTCCCGCACTCACCCGGCGGCGGCCGCTCGGACAGCTCCTTCTTCAGACTCTGGTCTGCGATGAAGCGGCGGCCCTCTGCGGGGAGATGGCACTCAGCGCCGGCCGGCCCGTCCGGCCCGGGGCGATCGGGGCGATGGGGTGAACCACAGCCGCCCCGCGCCCTGCAGCCCTCGGGCCGGAGGGAAGCCCCCGGGCAGGACCTGTGCTGGGCTGCGGGGTTTGGGGCGCGCGGCGGGCCACCCCGGGCTGAGCCAGAACAGAGAGACCCGGGAAGGTCCCGCGCCCCTGCCCGCCCCGCGCTCCCCTGTCCGCCGCCGTGAGTGGCCTCGGAGCGCCGGTCCGGCTCACCAGCCAGACCGATGTTCCCCAGGCAGCCAAGAGCCAGCAATCATTATTAGGGTCAGAGTTTCAGAGTCTTCCCCTGCCAAGAACAGTCCCCCCACCCCCCATACACACACACACACACACACACACACACACACACACACACACACACACACACACACTGTCATCCCTTTCCCTTGATTAACTGAGACCGGGAGCTCCATTCCTGAAGGTAACAAACTTGACATTCTGCAGCTCTCTATCTATCCCATGGACCCATGCAGCCCCCCACACCCCAAGGAAGAGCAAAGCATTTGGAACGTACGTGCGCCCTTCAGGTAAAGCATAGCTTGAGGAGTCCAGTTCCTTCTCTCCAAGAGTCTCTGCAACCCGAAAAGAGAAAAGCAGTTCATAAGACATAGCTGTGCAGCCCTCATCCAGGGGTGTGTGTGTGGGGGGGTGGGGGTGGGGGGAGGAAGGAAGGAAAGGAGGGTGAAGAAACAGAAAAAAGAAAAACAGAAGAGAGATGGGAAGAGAAAAAAAAAAAAACATTCAGGGGCTGGGTTTTCTTTCCATCTTTCTGTTGCGTTTGCTTACCTGCGGCGCACTGCGGGAATCTCCCAGGAGGGAGAACACCAGGAAAAGAGCCAGGGTTGTTGCCGCCAGACCTCTGAGTCCCTACAAGAAACCACGAATCAAAGAAAGTCATTTCTGTGCTTGTAGGACCTCCTGCTTTTTTTCGTGACGCCCGGACAGTTACCAACCCCTTACTTTTTGCTGTGTTCTCTAAAAATACTCAGAATGGGGTAAGGGTCCTCAGTCTGCCTTTTAATCCATGAGCAGTCTCTCTCTCTCTCTTTTTTTTTTTTTTTAATATAATTTCATTATTTAATCCAAATGATAAATGTGTGAATAAGTGAAATTTCTTCTTAGTAATATCAAATAACTAATATGTTAAGGCACATTACTTAAATATTTTCTAAAATGCTTATTAAGTATACAATGTTAGGTAAACTGCTCTGAAGCATTTTATAAAACAGTTTAAAAGTTAAGTAATTAAAACCATTACTTGCCTTCATGCTCTGCTCCTTTCCAGAACCTGCAGTAACTATAGCTTTACCTGTGAGCTTTCCAATCTTGTTCTGAAGGGGAGGCTTTTAAAACCTTAGCATCAAGGAGGCTTCAGTAGAGTTAGGGAGTCCCCAGGGACTTCATGTCAGTCTTCAAGAGTGAGAGGATCTGATGACTCCTCCAGGAAGATTCAATTGCAGGAAGTAGAGAAATGATTGATGGGTGATGTGTTTAGGTACTGACCACATTAACTGAGAGAGATTCTAAATTATCAGCCTTATTGCCTTTGTTTTTTCCACTGACTTTCCAGCATATCATCATCATCACGGTCATCATCATCATCATTTTCTTCTTCTTTATCATCATCATCATCAAAGAAAATTATTAATAACTTTTGGCACAAGCAAACCTAAATGAATAAAGTAAGGAAACTTGTTTGGGTAACTAGCTACAAGCTATCACTGATGCTGCATGATGAATCACTTGGGCAGAAATGAAAAGGTTAAGGGATCTCAATGGAATTTGACATCAGTTATTTCATTTTCTCGAATGCCTGCGATGCATTTAGATATTCTTCCTTTTAGTACAAAAGACATAGCCAGGCATTAAAGAAACATGGTCTCACTAAAACTGGTTTGGCTAGGTGGATAGAGCATCAGCTTGCAGAATGAAGGGTCCTGAGTTCAATTCCAGTAAAGGGCACATACCTTGGTTGTGGGCTCATCCCCAGTAGGAGGTGTGCAGGAGGCAGCTGATCGATGTTTCGAACTCTCAGTCTCTCTCCATTTCTCTCTGAAAAACCAATAAAATATATATATTTTTAAAAAGAAACACGGACACTGCTTTTAATCAAGCTTACCTTCTAGTCAGGGGAGAAATACTCTAAACTAGTAAGTAGGTAAATAAGGCAATTACAAGATGTTTTAAATGCATTATAAAGTAAAAGTAAGCCACATGTTGGAGTAAAGTAAGTGGTAGGAAGGTAAAATAAAGGAAGGGGTCTGGAAGGTTAAGGTGGAATCAGAGATGGGATAAGTTGGAGTGAGAATTAGTTTTATATGCATAAGAAAGTAAAGCAAAATCTTGGGATGGCAAAGAACTAGGCTTGCTTGAGGAACAGGAAGGAAACCAATGGAGTGAAAGTTGTGGGTATAATGGCATAGCACTTTGAAATGAGGTTGGAGAGGAAGAAATTGGCCCGTTCATTTGGGAACAAGGTTATAAGCAAAGGATGATGATGGTTTCGGCTTGGATGGCACTTGCAGGGAATGAAGAGCTGCACATGAATTTGGGGTGCAGGTTGGAGGTAGGAAATATAGAGCTTGGTGGGATATGAGAGTATGACAAAAATAAATTAAGGGTGATTCTTGGTCTTTTTTTGCTTAAACACTGGGTGAATGAAGAAACCATATATTGAAGTTGGAGAGACTTCTTAAGGAAAGCAGTTCAGTGAGGGAACTTAAGAGCTGTCTTTTGGGCATATTGAAATTAAAATGTATGTTAGACATCCAAGTACAAGTGGGAAGTAGGCAACTAGAAATGCAAAACTTTATAGAGTTCAGCAAAGAGGTCATCAGCCTATCGATATTTTTCTGAAGGCAGTACTGATCAGATTTCAGAATTTTAAGAATTCTATGAATTTTAAGGCAGGAAAAAGATTGGGATTGAATGATAACACTTAGGGAGTGAATGGAGTTAAAGAAGAGAGACAGAGATAGAGCAATGAAAATAAATATGCAGAGGATGAGCCGAGGGAGAGTTGGCAAGGAAGTTGAGGTGAAGCAATTGGAAAGAAAGGAGAAATTCCAGGAGACAATGGAATCCAGGAAACTACCCATTGTGTTAAAGTAGATGAGAGCTGAGAAGTGCATACTGGATTTGTTTTTGAGTACATAAACTAGATTGGATTGGGATGAAAGTGAATAAGGTATGAGGACATAAAGACAAGTGTAGACAACTCCTTTTAGGAATTTCACTAAAAAAGGGAAAGGAAAAATGAATCTTTTTTTCTAAAGATGTAGAAGGGTCACTTCTATGGGGCTCAGTAATATCTGAACCCTTTCACTTTTAGGGATTTCCTAAAATTTAATAAATTATGAATTATGGAAATGGGGCTCTTGGTGGGAAGCAGAGACTTTTTTTTGTAGAAGCTGAAAACGCCAGATCCTCTCTTTTCCAGCCTATCAGGTAGGATGTGGGCACAGGCTTCACCAATCAGATATGCTCACCCTGATGGGCGATCTGGAGATAGAATGAAAGCAAGTGAGGTCTTGAGAAACTGGTGCAGTGGTGGTTGTAGTAAGCTTGAACTTGTGGGGGAAATACTGCCTACAACGCTAATAGCAGATTCCAAGATGATGTTACAACCTGTAGAGTCTTTATAATGAAATCCTCTTGCTCAAATCAGGCCAGTTTGTTGGTTTCTCTGAGGACAAATAAGAGACTGTTTGCAGGACATGTTTGCTGATGGAAATGATCAGTGGAAAGGATAAATGGATGATGCAGAAGAGATCTGCCAAAAAGAATGCATAGAAGGCAAGAGGATAGGATCCAAAGTATGTGCTAGTATATAGACAGATATTGAACAAGGGCCTGAGTACCCATCTATGCTAAGATACAGTGGATAAGAAAGAGATCTTTCTTCTAAAATTATACCAGTTGCCCTCAGGTATTAATAAATCACCTGGGAATTTTGCTAAAATATAGATTCTGATTTAGTATGACTGGGGCGGGGCCTGAAATTCTGGTTTTCTAATAAACTTCCAGGTGATGCTGGTGTCTGCTGCTCTAGTGATCACTGGACATTTTGAGTAGTAAAGCTTTAGAGGATATGAGAAGTGATAAAAGCTAAATGTTAGAGTCTGTGTGGCTGGGAAAATGGCTAGCAGTAGAAATATTGGAATGTGGGGAGAGAACAGATGAGTTTGGTTGGGGCTTGAAGTTTGAGGGGCTGATGCTACCTGCAAATTTTTGTCAATACAAAGATTTGTTGTTAATACTTGTTATTTAGACTTCATGGTTCTGTGCAGACAAGAAAACTGGAGCTTGATTAGTAAATGTGAATGGAATAAAGAAAATAGAAACTTGAGGAATGCTTTCTTGCTTTATAGAATCAACAAGAAAGGGTCAAAGCTTTTGATGTTTTCCACTGTCTTAGGAGAGGGGAAAGATTTTTAAAAAAGGCTGAAACATTGACATTCAAACTGGATAAAATATTAATATTCCTTTAAATATTAGATATTAGGATTTAATTTCAAGGGATTGTAGCAACTTCCAAAACAAACAAACAAACTAACAAACAATAAAATAGAAGTGTGCATGTGTTTATGATTTAAATGAACCTCAATTACTAGATTACCTAATAGACAAGTAAAATGCCCTTTTCCTCTCTCCATACCAAAGACACACAAAGGTTTTACAAAGGAGAACAGGAAGATGAGTTGCCACCAGAATTGTGTTTTGAATTTCCAATTTTAAAGGAAAATCAATGAATGCAGTTTGTTTATAACAATGAGTTCACAGGCAGAGGTTTGACGTCAATGCTGCCATTTTCAGTATAATGTGCACAAATGACCAGAATAGCTTTGACAGATTATCAATATTGTAGTCTTATCAAAAGTAGCACGCCGGAATGTGTGTGTTGGAAAAGGGCATTGGCTTCTAATAAAATGTTTTTGTTAAATCACAACATTTTAAGATTTTTACAAGTGTAAACCTAGAGATGAGCTAAGAAGTTTGATTAAAAAAAAAAAAAAGTTGATGGGTTTAGCCACTGAATTTTATTCTGCTGACATTTACTCTGCTGACCAAGCAGTGGGCATTGAACAAACTGGATCCTAAGCCTTTTGAATAGGCCTATTCAATGGAGACCATTTTGCCTGCATAGCTGATGCTGAGTTTTTCTGGTTGGCTAGAGGGTCCATTCTAACAATAACAATAGTTGAAACTGCATTCTTACAAGGTCAGTGGTTATTGTGTCCACATAGAAACAGCCTCTCTCTTGGGCTAGGTTACCTGGGCAATATGGCTATACTACTAAAATATCCAAATCACTTCTTTGATGAAAGAATAAAGAGGAACTTGAAATAGATGAGTGACATCATTGGGTTTGAGTTCCTACTCTGACCTGATTCTGTGCCAAGGACAGTGTATCCCACAGGCTAGTTGTTTCACGAACAGGTGGAAGCAGTCATTTCCCCAAAGGGCTACCAGTTTTAGGAGGGGCCCTAGGGACACGAAGGCTTGCTATATAAAATAAGAATCTCCATTCATTGGCCAATGTCTTTACCATTGCCCTTTTACTTGAGGCTTTGAACCTCAAGGATCTCTTTTCCATAACCAAATAAAGACAAAAACAAGCAGAAAGTTCTATGCAACAACCAGCTGTTTTGGCCTAGTGGGTCAAAAAAGGTGAATAGAGGCGAAAAGGTCTTTTAATCATGTCTTGAGAGGCAGTAAAGGTAGGATTATGAAAAAGTGTGTCAGTAAGTCTTAAGGATTTGGGGGCACACTACTTTTTGTGTACAACCTCTACATGGATACAGGGAGCAAAAGGGCCGAGGTTGGAACCTTTCAGCCCCAAGGACAAAATTAGAAAGATATGCTGGATATTTAACAACAGACTCAAGACTTCGAGTTCACGAGACAATAGTCAAGACTTGCAGTTTCACTGGATTCAACAAACACTTATTGGGTATCATAAGTGGTAGACTTGGCAAGGTTTTTTGTTTTTTTTTTTTTGGTTTGTTTTGTCCTTATCAAAATTTGTGAGAAAAACACTGCAGACATTAAGTGGTTTTAAGTCACAAATACTCACATAATACAAGTATATATTACTTCTACCTTGAGGAAAAAAATATTTAAGCATTGCTCGACTAATTTCTAAATGGAAGATGTGTTGACCATTTTATATATTAAAAAATGCATTTAAAATAGGGTGGGTTATTGTATAATGCTAAATTAATTTTTAGAACCTCATAATGATACATTTGACCAGTTATGGACTTAAAGTGTACCGCTCCAAAATTCTTGCTGCAACCCTGATACCCAATATGATAGCACTTGGAGATGGGCCCTTGGAGGTAATTAGGTTTAGTTGTAGGCACAAAGGTAAGGCCCTCCATGATGGCATTAGTGTCCATGTAAGAAGAGGAAGAGAGACCAGAGGCTCTCTCTCCCATGTGAGGACCCAATGAGAAGGCAGCAAGCAAGAGAAAGGGTCCTCAGCAGGAATTGGATCTGCCAGCACCTTGATTTCGGACTTCTTAGCATCCATACTGTAAGAAATAAATGTCTGTTGTTTAAGCCATCTGGTCCATGGAATTGTGTTGTAGGAGCCCAGCTCAGTAAGACAACAAGCAATTAATAGAAAAGTATCCTTTTATTGAGAGATAAGACAAGTGTATTTACAATATTCAATGGTTAGATCAGACAGTCTGACTGTGAGACTTTTTTAAAGCAGCAGTATTCCAGAAATTACAATTTATAAGGGGAAAAGAAAAACATTCCAAATAGGTTTCTGTTACAGAAAATACATCTGAACAATGACAGATACACTTAAGGCTAAGTAGAATTACACCTTTTCCTCCATCTTTATAGCAATAATCTTGGACAGAAGGCTAATTTTGGAAAGGAAAAAACAACATGGTTTAGAAAAACTGAAAACTGAAATAATGGAGGACTAGTATGTTTAAAAATAAGGACTCCTCAATGGTTCTGAATAAGAAATACACAATGCTGCCATGCAGTCCCAAACTCACATTTGAGATTAAACATGGACTCTATAAAACTGAAAAACTGCTCCAGCCTCTCAATCTTACTAAGGACCAGCGGATTAATAAATCCTTTACACACTTCTGTCTGATAATGCTTTCTGAAATAAGATTGTTGAAAAAGAGAGCTCTGATACTTTGCAAAGAACATTTTGGTAGAAATTCATGTCCACAAAAGAGTTAAATAATACAGATGTTCCTTACATTAACAGATACTATTTTTGCCCTAAAAAGTAGAATGACCTAGTCTTTGTAAATAGTATGGGTCAGTCAAAAATATGTATAACAGAGTCCTACAGGGCAACTTGTATAAGTTAATCCCCAAAATATATTTGACACTCTCCAAGTAAGGATTTTATTTTATTTTTGAAGAACATTAGACACAATACTAAGTCTCTTAATATTCCATGAACTATTGAGGTAGGAGTCTTATTTCATCAATATCACCTATTATTTCACAGATTATATCTTAAATCATATGCCAGTACCAAAAACACAGTAATCCACAAGACTGAACCATTAGATTATACACCAAGTCTGCCTTCCTTTCATCGAGCTAGATTGGGAGTTCTCTGTGCATCAAAAGATTTCACTAAAAGTAAAATGAGCTGTAATATTTTGTAGACATGTTTGCAAATAAAACCCACAAATTTCAATTATGATTTCATGTATTAAAAAGCTTTAACATTAAAAAAAAAAGTAAATATTAGTAGTGCACTCATTAGTGGCAAAACAGATAGTTCTATGGCTGCTGAAATGTGTCCCTTCATCCACCACAAAAGTTGCCACCGTGGAAAACTACTAATGAAGAAACAGCCAGTTTCTTTCTGCCCGTCAAGCAGCAACGGTAGAAAAGAACAACACATCATTTCTTTAGTGTCATATTTTTAAGAAATAACAACCAGTTTAATTATAGTAAAACAGCCTCAGCATGTGAACTCAGATATTTCCTCTGTGACTTAAGATGAAGAGTGATCATGTGAAGCATACCTATTGATTTTTGTTATGAAAAAGCTGAAAATAAGGGGATACTCAGCTTACATGGATAGCCCTTAAAAAATAGCCGTAAGTTAAACCTTTTAACATGTTGTGTTTTAAAGTAAACTTTACCAAGTTAGTTATTTTAGTTTGTAAAAAACATAATAAACCACTGCTAATTTTTTTAAATAGAAGGAAAAAAAAATCTACATATGACAGGAAAATCCTTTTGGTTTGCAATTAATGTTTTAAATAATACCCTATTCAATGAAACAAACTACGTAACAGACTACTTCATGGTCAAGAATACTTTTTGTTAAATGGCTATATGTAACAAATGATATAAATACAGTCTTAAGACTCCCAAGAAGTAAGAGTATTTCCAGAGTGTGCTGCTGACCAAAGAAATGCTTAGTCAGCTATAATTTAGAAACTAAAAGCTAGTAATAATGACCTTTGCATATTCCAACAGAGAACATCTAATTCATATTTTCATCTGGCTTTAAAATATTAAGACTCAGAAGACTGGCAAAAGTTTTACCTTCACCATGTTTACCAAAAAAAGTGATCATTCATCAAAACTGGGGTTTCCTAGGTTTGAATACATTAAAATGACATGACATAATCCAATCTAATTCATGCATCATTTTTGGAGACACGGTGCAAGTGGAAATACTTTCCCAGTTGCAGTGGGCATTTCTAAGAAGCAAATGCCTATGGGTGCCCCTGAATCTTCAAAATAATAATTAAAAAAAAAAAGGAACCAGGCACCATACATCTTTGAAGATGGTTGTTTCGCACTTTGTGGAAAAACAATAAAAATCACCTTCAAGAGTTTCAATATGCATTGTAACAGATTTCACCTTCTTCAGTTTGCTTGCTGACTTCTTACAACACCTGATTAGAAGCCTGTTGTCATTGCTTCCTTGTTAACTGTTGTTGGTACTTTGTAGGTATAGATTTTAAATGTCTGTAAAGAACATTACAAGCTATTTCATGTAATTTAATCTGTCCTGGATATTCTTCAAAAGATTTTATAAATAATACAATATTTTAAATGAGTCTTCAATGGACCGTTGTTATACCATATTGTTGCTTTCTCCAACTTTATCTACAAACTGCAAGAAGAGAAACAGACAAGAGAAAGCCTTCAGCATTGTTAAATATTACATCAACATTTTAAATGTTCATTGAAAAAACTCAGCTTTACAAGATTTGTGGAATTTTAAGGTATGACTGACAATGATTGACCCAGTACTACTCACCACCATCTTCTGACACATAAATGTGTATAAAAAATTTTTTTTCTAAAGTTATTTTTGCATGACATGCTATACATATGACTGTAAAGGTGCCACATGAGAAATACAACACAATGAATAAAAACACAGGAGAAAATGACATTGACGCTGATAGCTTAACAAAAAAATAAAAAATTAAAAAGCTGAAATGTCACAGCCATTCATTCATTAATGAACCCAATAAGATATTTCAACTGACCATGACTGTGGATCTCTTCTGGGCCTATGTAGTCTTTGAACAAACAGATTTAAGTCCATTAAGTACAATAATTAACAGCAGCTATTGACTAAAAATACTTTAATTGTGTAACTGGACTATGGACTGAAAGTGGCAATGACATTAAAAACTGATGTAAGGATGCAAGCATAAATTTATAATTTTAATACATATACATGTAAGTGGTTATTGACTTTGGTTACTCCATCCCAAATATTAAGCATTCCAGATGGTGATGCAAACAAATATTGAAGCAAAGTAATAGTGGAGATATTAAAAGTCATGCAACCATCAAATCTATAATACTATCAAATCTAGCAATCATCTCTTTCAATTCACTAATCATGTTTTCACTTAAGCATCTATACTAATAAAAGTATAATATGCTAATTAGACCAGGTCGACCAGACCAGACATCTTCTGGTTGTCTTGCCTTCCTTCTGGAGAAAGCCACAGTGGCGGGAGCCAAGGGAGAGGTGGTTAGGGGCGATCAGGCTGGCAGGGGAGAGCAATTAGGGGCGATCATGTTGGCAGTGGGGAGTAGTTAGGGGCAGTCAGGCAGATGGGTTAGGGGTGATCAGGCTGTCAAGGGGGAGCAGTTGGGGCAATCAGGCCGGAAAGGAGAGCAAGTTGGGCGATCAGACTTGGCAAGGGAGGGCAGTTAGGGGTGATCAGGCAGGAAGGCAGAAGGGAGGGCAGTTAGGGGCAATCAGGCAGGTGAGCAGTTAGGAGCCAGTGGTCCTGGATTGCAAGAGGGATGCACTGAGGGATCAAGCCTAAGCTAGCATCCCCCAAGAGGTCCCAGATTGGAGAGGTGCAGGTCAGGCTGAGAAACATTGCCCTCCCCCTTTCCCCCCGCCAATGCACCAATTTCAGGCACTGGGCCTCTAGTTTTATTATAATGAAGTAATACTCATAGGAAACATAACTTATAGTATTGGGTGTCCATCTATGCAAATATCGAAGTATCCTTAAATTGAGGATATGAATAATTATTACAATTCTATAACTAGAAGTTTTAGTAATTCCAAAAGCCATGCTAAGTATAAACAGCATTGACTATTGTTTGGAGATCAATGCCAATAAAATCAGGATATATCCCTGTAAGCCTAGGTTCCAACATCTTTTTTTATGTTACTTTATATCATGGTAAATAAGTGACTGGTACCCTGAAACTAAAAGTTGCTTTGAAAGTACTCAAAAGATTCATTAGAATTTTAAGGTAAATTTATTGGTGAGAAAGCACAACATTCCCTCTTCAAAGGTAACTTCTAATATGTAGGTTGTGTGGGTTGCTAGTTTGATTCTACAATTCACTCGAGGATTAAAAAAAAATTGGATTTATAGTGGTACCTTTTAGTTCTTTGAGAATTCAGTAAATATTATGGCCTTTCTCTCTAGAAACATCTTCAAAAATCTATAAATAACTTTATGCTCACAAATATGGAGAAACAGATTTGATAAGAGTGTTCAAATCATACAGGGGGAACAGAAATTATCATCTGACTTTCAGTATAACAGTGTTCCATTTAATTATCTTAATACACCTCATTTGATGAGATGGTCTAAGAAAGAAGATACTCATAAGAAATAATGATATCATTTTCATATTATTGCTTCTAAAATTAGAGAGGACATAAAAGTTACCTGAAAAGTACCTTGAACTCTCAAAGCATATCAATCCAAGTTGTATTAAAAAATAGAGAACAGTATTAAAAAGGAATACAGTGAAATAAAATGCCAGGCTTTATAGATTTACCAATGACTATTTTCTCTGGTATTCATGGTTACCATGATCTATGTGATGCAAACATTTATATTGTAATAAAAACATCAATTAATCATGTATCAATTGCTCTAACTTCTGGAAGTAAAGAGAACTGAGGAGTAGTTTGATGGGTTAGAGACTATATTTTTAAATACAGATTACTCACTGATCTAATGCCGGGCAAATTCAAGATGGACCCAAGGACTGGCACTCTTCTGATGAAGCCAACGACCACAGGAAAGAAGCCCCTGGGAGAAGAAAAAACAGCTCTGTCCTTGTACCCTCCTTATTACCAAAATCAACTGCCAATTAAGTAAAAAGGTCCTGTCAAAATTTGAATATTTTAGAGACTTTAAACTTCAGTTAACTTTTCTCCCAGGATTTGATTCCTTCTTTCCTTATGTTCTTATAAAATTTTACATATATTCCTATCTATAGCATTACTACTCTGTTCTACTAGTTTCATTATATACTTTCTATATTAAAAATGAGATTCTTTAAAGCAGACTTGGCACTTAATTCATATTTAAGTCTCCTGTGGGTAATATGGTGCCTTACGGATAGAAGACAATATACATTCCCTGAATAAAATTTTAAACCAATCTTACTTAAAGGTATTTTCTTACATTACATTCTATTGTTTATTCACTTGGTAACTAGCATTTGTAAAATATTAATTGACCAAAATCTCCCATAGTATATATAGTACAAAATTTTCTAATATGTATAAGCACTAAAGAAATTTCCATTATGTGGCAGTCACTATGCAGTATCAGGTTCTACATATTAAAATGTTGGGTATATTTATATATCTATTTATCACTGTTAGTTGGTTCAAATAGCAAACATAAAGACAGTGCCTTAAAAGGCTAATAAAATTAATTTTATTAAATTTAAAATATTTTACAAGATAACTCATAGTCCTAAACAGGCAATTATTCACTCCTAATAAAACAGTTTATAGTTGATTAAATTATCTAAAACAATAATAATAAAAGATTCAGTGTAAACAAAAATCCATTTAAGAAAATTATAGTCTTCTTACTCATGCTGATATAACTATGTGGATTTTGACATACTGTTTTACTGAAAGGAAACAAATAAAATGACTTCCTTACCTGAACAAAAGAAAGAATCCATAAATTTCGAAGATCATACCTATCAAAGGCCAACCAACAAGGACTACAAATACACCACCCAGGAAAAATCCTGTGGCTTTCATTTTATGTTTTTGAAAGAAGAATCTGAATGTTCTTTCTAAACCAATTACAAAAGCCAAGCCAGCCACAAATAAAACCTAAAGAAGAAAGAAAACGCAACATAGAAAAAGTAAGTAAGCACATTACATAAATTTGAAGGTCAAAGTTAAATATTTTTAAAAAAGGAGCACATCTAGTTTTCACTGTGGACAACTGGGCAGAGAAAACTACAATGCACACCAAGAAGCAGAACCAAGGAGTGGGCTAAGAAACAGGAAAGATTAGAGGTTACCAACCCAGCATCAGCAGTGGCTTTCCCAGGGTTAAGCTAGATGGAGATGGCTTAGTCAAACAGATGAATGGCAAGACAAAAGAGAAGCTGCCACTAAATATGTCACCTAAAGATGCTCCTAGTTCTACAAACTTCACCCGAGGCTATAGGAACTCCTGTGGATGGGAGAATACTGACTTGGCCAAGGTGATAGAAGAAGAAACCATGCGAAGCCAGAATATCTGGTAGCAACAGGAATAAAAATACAACTATGTGTTCTCAAATATACATATATTTTGCATGTTTTCAGACAGTAGACAAGAAATAGTGACCTATTAGAAAACTTGTTTTTCCTCACATTTTATTCCCAAATCCTGTTTTTCCTCATTAACTTTCTTTATTGAAAAATATTTCATACATACATATATATATATATATATATATATATATATACACACACACACACACATATATATATATATATAAATTGATTAATAAGTTAATGGTTAAGCTGTTTACATTATTTATTGTAACATCAACTTTGAATGATTTTGCTCTCCTTTATATTTACCAATTTGCAATTAAAAGTCCAATGGTAATATACACTTGTCAAAGATATTCAACGGGGGCTATTAAGTCATCTATTTTTTTTAAAAAAACCTTTATTGTTGAAAGTACTACAGATGTCCCAAGTCATCTATTTTTAACTTCTATTTAGAGGCTGCCTTGACTTATGCTATTGTAATATTGTAAATCACATATCAAACACTTAACATAATCATGGAATTAGAAAACCTCATTAAGTGTTTACCTTTGTTTAAACAGAAAGCTAATGGATTTCATTCCTGATGGAAAAAAAAGAATGTAATAGAAATTTTTACATGATTAGTAGTGAATTATTTCACCTAAATTCAATAGCAGGCAAGAATTCAGTTATGGCTAACTTTTTCTTATGAAGTTAATTAAAATACATATTGAAAACTCACATTTCCAATAGCCAGTAGTGCTTTGTCAAAAAAGAGAATCATTCCAAAGAACAGGAAAAACACTCCAAATCCTGTTAATCCCATGCCAATTTCTGCAATGTAAGTTATATGGTTAAAGTTAGAGAAACATTGTAGCTCCATTAAAATCTTTGTAAACTAAGATAATTCTTTAGTTTTTCTTTTGGATGATAAAAGGAAAAAAGGTCCCCAACTGGAGATTAACTTTATAATGACATTCACTAAGATCTACAACAAATTAACATCAATAATTTCTTTGAAATTTAAAATATAAGTGGAAATTTCTAATCTATATATAAAAGTCTAAGTGACCATTCAACCATTCAACTGGTGATTATGATGCGCACTGACCACCAAGGGGCAGACACTCAATGCACAGGCATGGAAACATGGGACAGACTAATGAATCTCAGAGGGAAGGGGGGAGAGAGGAAAGAGATAAACCAAAGATCTTATATGAATTCTAGAGACCTGCTGCAATAGGGCTTCCTGAGGCCGCCCCATCTTCTTCCCTCCCTTCTCCACAGCCCAGCCACCCTGCTTGCTTCTCTGCAGCTTCACTCCCTTCTACAGTGCTTGGCTTCCTTCTATTCAGTCTTGAATATGCAAATTAACCGCCATCTTGGTTGAGTTAATTTGCACATTTGCTCCTTTTTGGCTGGTGGGCTTGGCCTGTTGGTGTAGCGAAGGTGTGGTCAATTTGCATGTTTCTCTTTTATTAGATGGGATTAGAGGCCCGGTGGGGTCCCTTGGCCTGGCCTGTGGGGATTGGGCTAAAACCAGCAGTCCGACATGCCCTGAGGGCTCCCAGATTGCAAGAGGGCGCAGGCCAGGTCGAGGGACCCCACTGGTGCACAAATCCGTGCACCAGGCCTCTAGCTCTTATATAAGAGAACATTTCTTAAAAGCACCATATTAGAGAAAGATAAATCAGAATTCTAAAATTTTGGTTATATATATATTTTTCCCTTCTAAGAATCCCTCTGGCATCAGAATAAAAATATGGGTTTACTTTTGCTATTTATTTCTTATATTCTACAACTATTATTTATATAGATGATATCTGCAGTTCCTTCTTTCCCCTATAAAATTAATTCCTTCTATAACTCATTAGAAATTTATATAGTAGGTCAATACAATTATATAGTAGCAATAGGAAATACTTTGAGAATCAGGTAGTGGTCTCCTCAAAAGTTAAGTTTCAAAAGGTTAGATATCACTTTTAACTTTTTGGTGGCTTATTATGGATTTATTTTCTACAAACTTATCTAAACTATGAATCCATTCCCATATTTAGTCCGAGTCCTTAAATCACCTCTCCAACGCTTAAAAGGACACTGTTTTATCTAAAATTAATGTTCTGGGTTTTTGATCTTTCATTTAGAAACAAATTGTTGATCAACTCCTAGATGCAAGCAACTGTTCTAAGTACTGAGTATCAGACCCAGCAAAATAAATTTATCTTCCTCTTATGCACTATCAAACCTTCATTCCTCTTGTCCACGTATGTGTTTAATGAACAAAGTGTAAGCTTTGAAGTCTCTGTATAAAACCAATAATTTTATTGCCTTTACATTCTCCAGGACTTAATCTTTTATAGTTTGAAGAATAGACTTCCTAAGATTACTGTTTACAGTTGTACTTTTCTATTAATACTACCAAGCACAATCAATCCACTAAGTCACCTCCTTGATTATTTTAGTTTTGTTTTCAGGAAACAGTTACGAATCCTCATTTTACCTAGAAGCACTAACTGTATAACATAATAAATTATGGCAGAAATATTTTTGGAAACACAATTTTAAATGCACTATTAATGATTTCTGATCTTAATCACTTTGCCTCGGCTCCAGAAAGGTAAAATCCAGGTCATAGCTACTTAAAAAAAATTATAAGGCATGTGTAAAATGTTTTGATGAATTTAAAATTTATATCAATACATTTTCTACTTGTAAATTGATACAGTTAACTACTATTGTCCATAAAGGTATCTTTTTCTCCCATAGTTTAAAAGGATTCAGAAGTATTCCACAGATACTAATATTTTATGAAAATTTGAGGCTGATACTTTCATGCTTAAATGCTTTAAAAGAATTTACCAAATCCCAGCTGGTTTGGCTCAGTGCATAGAGCATTGGTCTTTGGACTGAAGGGTATCGAGTTCAATTCCAGTCAAGGGCACATACCTAAGTTGCAGGCTACTCTGGGGACCTGGTCTGGGTGCATTCACCTCCTCCCCAGGCCCTGGTCTGGGCACATTCAGCAGGCAACCAATCGATATGTTTCTCTCACATTACTATTTCTCTCTGTCTTTCCCTTTCCCATTCTCTCTGAAAATCAATGGAAAAATATTCTTGGGTGAGGATTAAAAACAAAGAAACAAACAAACAAAAAATATTAAAAATATGATATTTGAAAAAATTTACCAAAATAATTTTATATCGCAGACATAATTTTCCAGAGAAAAATATGGACATAAGAGCAAGTAAAATATCATTAAATAACTGACTAGGTAGGATTTAATCATTGGCAGCTGAGATAAATGAAAATGACTAATTCCCATGTTTTCACAAATTATACTAATTACACCAAAATTGTGAGATGTTTGTTCAGAAAGGAAATATGAAAATACATGTATTATGTATTGAGAATTTTATAGAAGTAGCCATTATAAGGTGCTTTATATACCTTACATAAATTAATCCTTTCAATACTATTACAAGGTAGGTATCATTAAATTCTTTTAGACAGCCCAGAAGTTGAGATTTAGAGAACTGACTTAATTTGCCTAAAGTCATACTTCTCCTTAAGCATTTGAACTCAAGCATATTTGAATCCAAAGTCTACGTGCTTAACCATTATACCATCCTGCTTTCCACAGTATTTTCAGGTTAAATGTCTGGTTAGATGAAACTCAAGGTCATTGGAGTACACTGAACTTCTGGGGGAATCGTCTTAAGTTGATCCAAGTTTAATATAATTAGCTTACCTAATATAACTAAGTAGGTGTTAGGAGAACTATTATAAATTGACTGCAGTTCTTGCCAGTGTGGCTCAATTGGTTGAGCATATTCCTGCGCACCAAGAGGTCACCAGTTTGATTCCTTGTCAGGTTATATACCAAGGTTGTGGGCTCAATCCATGTGCAGAAGGAGGCAGCCCATTGATGTTTCTCTCTCTCTAAAAATCAATAAAATGTATTTTAAAAAAATTGACTTCAATGAAAAGGACAATGTCTATGTTTTTATGTTTAATGAAATGTTTGTACAATTATGCTATAATTTCTTTTACAAATTGTGAGACAAAAGGTAGCACCAGCCCCAAGTTTCATATGGATAGCCAGAGACTCAGAGAGATTTGTTACTTACCCTTGACCACAGAATCAGCAAGTGTGTAAGTGGGGGAAGGTGCAGGGGTGGGGAATGGCACTTGGTGGTGGTGTGCCATCAGGCTGGGAATTGAAATCCAGTCTATAATACTTCACAGTTTGAACAACTGTAACATGGAAATCAAAACATTCCTACCACTTTATCCAATGTAGTCAAGCAGATCTTTGTAATCTTTTCCAAAACTGGCACTAGCATGATGTTGCTAAGAATTCCCTGATGTAAAGGGGTCAAAAGCCTCCAACGGACCTCACTGTGCCTTTTTCTCATCTTCCCTGTGCCTGAGCATTCATATGCCCAGTTATTAAACCCCTACATAGAGCTGCCCTCTCACTACCAGAATCAGGCCCTGTAAAATAAGTTTATCTTCCTCCTAGGCCCTATCAAATCTTCATTCCTCTTGCTCGTATTTGTGTTTCATGAATAATTTGATAAAAGCAATCTAATAAAATGAATTTATCTAAAATAAAAAGCTTATTGTAGAAATTTTGTAAGAAAAAATATGGTTAATTCAGTGGCAATTACTGTTAGCATTTTGATATCTGATTTAAGTATTTTAAAGCAGACTGTCTTTCTATGCCTTTTTAAAAATAGAAAATTTCAGAATAAAAAACTTAAGTGAATATCAACTGAATTTAACTCAAATGAATATCATGGTGGAATTTCAGGCTATCCTATATAATAAAAGGCTAATATGCAAATAGACCAACAGCAGAACAACTGAACAACTGGTCAACTGGTCATTATGACATGCACTGACCACCAGGGTGTATGCGTGGAACATGGTGGGTGTTGGCAGCAAAATGCGGCAAATGACAGGCATTGGCTGCGGTGGGATGGTGGAGCAGGTGAGTGGGGGTGCCGGACCAGATGGGGCATTGGTCACTGTCATTTGGGTGAGCATCTGGTGGTTACTGGAAATTCTTTGCTCCCATGCACTGTAGTCTCACCTAGCAGTTTGCACCTGCTGTGGGCACTGGCCCTACTCCTGCCTGCTGCTGGCACTGGGGCCGCCACTAACACTGCTGCCAGCATTCGGCACCAGCCCTGATCACTTCTGTACTCTCCCTACTCCTGAAGGGTGATAGGGGCCAACAGCTGCCTCTCACACCCGCTGCTGGCGACAGCCCCACTTGCACCTGCTGATGGTGCTGGAGCTGCTGCTCGCACCTGCAGCCAGCACCCAGTGCGGGTTCTGATTGCTCGGCTCCATCAGTGGGTACGAGTGGTGGCTGCCAGCCCTGATCGCCCCTGAGGGCTTCTCCACCTCTCCCTGCTCCTGAGGGGCGATTGCGGCAGCAGCTGCCGCTCATACCCACTGCTGGTGCTGTCCCCAATCGCTCTGCGCTGTCAGTGGGTGCAAGCGGGCCGGTGCCATCAGCACACTGAAACAGCAGCAGCAGCAGCAGCGGGAGTGCAGAGGATGTGCTGAGTTGTGCCCCTGTGCCCACGGCAGGCATTCCACAGTTCCACGAATTCATGCACTGGGTCCCTAGTGTGACATAATAAAGATTTAGTGGCAGCAAGGGAACTGCTCCACACTACCCCATTTGATAAATATTGTATTTTTTTGGGGGGAGGGGGGGAAAGAGGATGCTATTATAGGATCCCTTAAAACAGTCCTGAATTGTTTTTTGCCTTTTTAAAAGTTTTTATTGATTTTTTAAGAGATCAGTAGTTGGCCACCCTCTCTCAGAATCAGAATCCTGAGATAATCTTGGCAAATCACTTGACCAATGGCCAATTCCTGCAGTTAACACACTTATTAGGTCTAGTAATAATTAATGTCGTTTTCTAATATTTAAATCGAATTTATTTAAACAATACAACAAAATTTAATCATAGTTGCCGTTGTTTTCTACTACTTGTGCCCAACGCTCAGGAAGCATTTTAGCCCCTCTGTTGTAAAATTCTTGTGATTTTGATGCAAAAAATTCGGTCAATGCATTTTTGAGGCATTCTTCATTATTAAATTTTTTTTCAAGAAGAAAGTTTTGCAAAGAACAAAACGAATGGTAATTGGAAGGGGCAATATCAGGAGAATATGCAGGTTGAGGGAGAACTTCCCATTCCAACTGGCGCAGTTTTTCAGCAGTGATTCTTGCAGTATGCGGTCGTGCGTTATCGTGGTGAAGAATTACGCCCTTCCGATTAATCAGTGCGGGTTCTTTTTCTCTTAAAGCTTGGGCTAACCTTTCCAATTGGGCACTATACACTGCACTTGTAATGGTTTGGTTGGATGGTAAAAGTTCATAATGAAGAATTCCTTTAAAATTCCACCAAACACACAACATCACTTTTTTCGCATGCAAGTCAGGTTTTGGCGTGAGCTGCGGAGCCTCATTTTTGTCCAACCATTGAGGCTGCCTTTTCAAATTAACATACAGCACCCATTCTTCATCTCCGGTAACAATTTGCTCTAAAAACGGCAAACGGTTTTGACGAGAGAGGAGCGAACTGCAAATTGTGACTCTTTGATTACGGTTGTTATCGGTCAACTCATGAGGAACCCATTTTCCAAACTTTTGGACTTTGCCAAGTGCACGCAATTGATTAGAAATTGTTTTTTGTGAACAATTTAAAGTTGCCACAAGCTCTTGTTGGGTAATTTGAGGATTTTGCACCAAAAGAGCTTGAAGAGCTTCTTGATCAAAATTGGACACACGGCCTTGACCACTCTTGTCATCTAACGAAAAATTTCCCTCGCGAAATTTCTCAAACCAACGCTGGCATTTTCTGGCGCTAACTGCATCTTGACCAAGAGCGCTACAGATGTTTTTTGCAGCCTCACTTGCTTTTCTTCCTAATTGGAACTCGTAAAGCATGCAGTGCCGAATATGCTCTTCATCCGCCATCTTCTTAGCCCTAGTTTTGCAACAAAAACCAAACCAAACACAAACTTTTTCAAGCAAAACTTGTTAATTGCACTTCACATGTTCTGTAGATACCACATGTTTGAAGGTTATGTCAATACAAGTCAATGCCAAGCAAGATTTTAAATAATGTTAAAAAACGACATTAATTATTACTAGACCCGATACAAGCACCATTTGAAATCCAAAGAGCTTTTGATTCATTAATCATTTTGTGTTCCAATCCACTGTTCTATCCAAAACATTTGGCAGAAGAGCAGCAAAGAGCATATCATCTTCCTCATCAATTTAATGAAGTGAGGAGAATGTTTACTATCCTGCCCATATTCCAACCCAACTCTCTTGTTCTGGTTTTTGGAAGGATGTAAATCAGGCACTTGTCCTTATAGTAAGTCTTCATTATAAGAGAATGCCTATGCACAGGATAAATAATTCACATTTTTATCTATATAATAATCATGGACTCAGGAGAAATAATAATCCTATAATATAATAAAGAGGTAATATGTAAATTGACCATCACTCCAACACATAACATGGCCACCCACATGAGGACACAAGATGGCCTGCAGGGAGGGCAGTTGGGAGGTAACAGGCCTGCAAGGGAGGGCGGTTGGGGGCGATCAGGCCTGCAAGGGAGGGCAGTTAGAGGTGACCGGGCCTGCAGGGGAGGGCAGTTGAAGTGGGGGAGGAGCAGGTCTGCAGGAAAGGGCAGTTGGGGGCAACCAGGCCTGCAGGGGAGGGCAGTTGGGGGAAACCGGGCCTGCAGGGGAGGGCTTTTAGGGTTGACCGGGCCAAAAGGGAGGTTAGTTAGGGGCAACCAGGCTGGTAGGGGAGGGCAGATAGGGGTGACCAGGCTGGCAGGGGAGGGCAGTTAGGGGCAATCAGGAAGGCAGGCAGGAAAGCGATTGCGAGATAGCAGTCCTAGATTGTGAGAGGTCCGACTGCCCGGGCAGGTGGATATCCCTTGAGGGGTCCCAGATTGGAGAAGGTGCAGGTTGGGCTGAGGGGACCCCCACACAAATTTTGTGTACCTGGTCTCTAGTACTTTATAATTAGATAGAAAAGCTATGTAGAGTTTAAGTACTTCTTCTAAGTAATCAGAATTAGAAGTACACTCTAGCAATTAATGTACATACCGTATTTTTTGGACCGTAAGATGCACTTTTTTTCCCCCAGAAGTGGGGGGAAAAAGTCCCTGCGTCTTATGGTCCAAATATAGCCTACACATATACTTTAAAAAAAAAGTTTTTTTACTTGCCCGGCTCTGTGTGGTCTGTGTGTGCTTGCCCGGCTCTAAAATGGTTCTAAATGCTGCTGTTTACTTTACAGGGTTGATTACATGTGTTTATGACTGTGATGTTGGGTTTTAATGCACATAAAATATTTTAGGACACTATTTGTTTCAAAATCTTTTTTTCTTCATTTCCCTTCTCTAAAAACTGGTGCGTCTTATGGTCCGGAGCGGTCTTATGGTCCGAAAAATACAGTAATTCTGCTAATTTCCTTGGGCAAACTAATTTTCATTTTGGGTTTTAATCAAGAGGAATGGGACACTGTGTTTCATAAAGAAAATAGGCCTTAATAATATCCTACAAAATTTCTCCAAAAAAATGAATGATTCTGTAAGGTAAGTGTCTATATTACTGTTGAAACTACTTTTGCTTTGGAAGAATTTCATCATTCTAAGATCTCAAAGTTTATATCGTCTTTTATATGCTAGTAGGGTACAGTAAAAAGAACAAAGGTTTTTAAGCCAGCAGGGCTGGGATCAAGTCTTGTTTCTTGATTACATTAAATTTCTTTTGTCTCCTTTAATTTATAAAAAAAAAAAATAGATTCCTCTTTACCTTATAAAGCTCTTAGGAATTACTTGTAATGATTTTATGAAAGCACATATTGCTAATTTTTTTTTTTTTTAAAAGAGCTATACTTAGGTTTTCTCGGATCAGAACACATGAGGCCAAATGACTAAAATGAGCACTCTTCCTGGACCAGGGCAGGTGGCTCTAAGGTGCAGACTGGTCCCATCTCAGAAAGGCAGCCTGACTGGCCTGCAGTGTGAGTGTAGGACCTTAGGAGCTCTGTCAAGTTCAAGTGCGCTATGGCGTGAATCCAAACCTTAATTCTCCACTTTAAAATAGAGCACTTACGGTGAAGTATTATCTTCACTTCAACAGACTGTTTAGTTCTTAAAATCTTGAAAATCCAATTAAGTTAACCAGAATAAGAAATAAAAGGCGTGGCCGATTAAGCAAAATGAGACAAAAAGACAATCTCAACCATCAAAAAAAAAAAAAAAAAAAAAAAGATAGCATAGGGTTGGGCAGATAAGGTAAATAAAAAATGATTAAGATTGGTGAAAAGTGGAGATGCTATATTGAAAGAAAAAGGAACACACAGTATTGCCAACCTTAGAGAGAAGACAGACCTGAAGAACTCTGAGGCAGGCAGAAAGATATGCTAAAAATAACCAAACAAGCCACAAAGCACAAATGTACAATATTAACAAAAGAAATCCTTTAATGAACGCCAAGTGACATTTGACCAGTGGGGAAGCATTAGCTGGTAGAAAAAAAATGAAGTTCTTTCTAGGGGTTTTTGAAAGGTCGTTTTCCATTGCTGGCAAAGAGGCACACATACTCCATATATGTAAGTGTGGGCATCTTTTCAAAAAGAGCCTACCATGGGTGACAGTTAAAATTCCGTCCCCCCGCCCAGTAAACTTGCAGAGGAGGACCCCACGACAGGCAGGTCCAGAGAAATGTCCTCGAGAGTGGGCCGCGGGCGCCACAGCAAACTTTGTCTAGAGGCGGACGGTCCGCGGGAACAAAGCGCCCGGCTCCCTGGGGGCGAGAGAGCCGCGCGAGCCAGACCCTCCGCGGGGCTCCCCCTACCCAGGCCCGGGCGCCTCCCCCGACCCCGCCGCCGCCTTCCCTCCCAGGCCAGGTCCGCCTCGCAGGTCCAGCCTCGCCCCTTCCCCGCCGGCCGCCGGCTCCCGCAGCCCCAGCTCCGTCCCGCCGGCCGCCGTCCCCAAAGCGGAGCTTCATTCATTTCCCCGCACCGGGGTGGGGTGGGGTGGGGGGGTGGTTGGAGGGAAACCGGCGGGAGGGCCCCCGCCCCCGCCCCGGCAGAGGGTGTGTGGGGCTCCCAGCAGGGCCCCCGGGGCCCGCGCTTACTCTGGGTGTCCGTTAAGGAGATCATGGCTGCTGGGGTCCCGGCTGGGATGAGGTCCGCTCCTCGAGAAGCCCAGGGCGTGAAGCAAAGATGCGAGTGTGAAGCCGGGAAACAGCCCAAGAGACAGCCGCCACGTCTTCCGGAAACACGCAGCCATCCCCCGTCCCAGCGAGGAGGCGGCTTCCGATTGGCTCAAGCCGCTCCCGATATCAGCCAATGATGTGGGGTCTTGTTCGGTGACGCGCAGGCGGCCACGCCCCCCGGCCAATGAGAGACGGGTCGTACCTGCCATTGGTGGGACGGGCCGACCCGGAAGGGTGGAGGTTCCCGGCCGGCGTGCAAAGAAAGCCGGGTGGCGGGAACTTGTTGCCGGTGAGCGGTGGTTCTGAGTTCGGGAGTTCGGGGCGCTTTGGGGTCGGAGCCCTGGGGCGGTCTGGAAGGCCCGGGTGCGGGGTTCTTGAACTGTTTCTCCGGTTACGTGTTGAAAGGGCTGATTTTTTTTTTTTTTCCCTTTTCCTGCTTAAAGGCGTGGTCAGTCCATTAGGGATGGCTTCCTTCCACATTGGCAGGGGAGAAACTAGGGGAGAAATTCAGGCCTTTAGGACACGATCATGTTATCGCCAGCCTTTTCCGTGCCGGAAGCTCGGTCACCAGCGCCTGTTGATTGGAAGCCATCGATCATTGGGAACACCGTTAGGGTGTTATTATATTGCTGCTGTCTGTATACGCAGGTGGCGGGGAGAGGGGGATGGGGCTGTGTCTGATTGAACCAGTGGTACCTCTGTGGCATTTCCTCCAGCATCGATGACTGGGTGTGACACGGTAGAAGATTTCCTGTGGGTGCTGTCAAAAAAAAAAACTCAGAAGCATCAGAAGTGAAACCAATGAGTCATGGAAGAAGTGAAAGCTGACTGTTGACTAAAAAACAGTTCGCTAACAGGCAGCACTCCAACCAAAACATGTAATGAGGCTCAGGGGTGTATTGTTAAAACAGCTTGCATAGTGAGAAGGTAGTGGCTGCTTATCTTCACAGTGATTGGCTATACCGCTAGTATTAATGTTTTCTTAATTGATAGGGAATTTGGTTAGTGGTTACCCCATATCAACCTTGGGAAACTGTTACATTTCCAGAGGCTAAATGAGAAATGACCCAGGTTAAGTTAGTGATACAAAGTAAGCTAAATTAAGCTTTGCTTGAGTGACTAAACTTTTTTTATGCTCAGGTAGTTTTCAAGACTAGACTTTGTTTGTGGTTTTAACATTGCCTGGCTATACTTCTGACTGACAGACCTGCTGTAGCTCACTCATTTCTGAACATATTGAGGCATCTTTTAATATTAAATCACATCATTTGGGGAAGGAATTTATGAGTGGGTGTTTTTTTTTTTTTGTGACAGTATAATCAAAGAAGTGGCGGGAACTTGTTTTAAAATTGTGGGGGGGGGGGCGGAACATATTCTTTCCTAAGAGTAGAGAAATAGTTTCTGCTTTCACGCTCAGCAAACTTAAGCCTGAACTATATGCAAGGCACTTTGCTAGGCTATGTGAATACAAAGGGAAGAGACTCACCCCCTGCCCTGCTGGAAAATCTTGCACTCTAGAGAAGGAGAGTTATGTTTCCACAAGAGGTGTTTATATAGATAAAGAATTAAAAATCTTTGGTTTACCCTCCTACTTCAACAGGTTATATTCCAATCTCAGCAAGGCGAAGACGATCCTGCCTATCTTTCCAGCCTAGTGGTGGTTTCTGAATTCTGTGTCAGGAAGGGCATAAGGTCAGCATTCTGTCTAAGGTGGAGTCATGCTGAAGTAACCTTTGGGAACATTCTAAGTTCCTTTTAGAAAATGTTGATTGTCCATATTAGAGATAGGGGAGGTGTTCTTGGACAACCTAAAGTTCCTACTCTCAAGCCACATCTCCTTCCCCTTGCTCATATGTACGCTTTCTTATGTTCTAGTCATTCATAGGTATTTAGAATTCCTTCATACAAACCATCTTGTTGCCTTTTTTTTTTTTCCCCCTACTTCTGAGCTTTTCAGGTTCTCTTCTGAAATTTATGAACTCCCCACCATAGAAGGCCAAATCCTTTCTTAAGATTGAGCCTAAACTGTAAGTCTTTAAAGCAAGTATTCAGTAAAACGTTAAGCGATTAATTTGGGTGTTTATGTTGATAGATTTTGCTTAACCTGGGACATTTGAATCTATCCAACTTGTTATGTATAAGATAGGTTCTATCCCAATTTTACAAGTAGGGAAAGGAACTGAGAGGAACAGGGTGTGTAATTTTGCTAAAATCATACTGTGGTTTAATACTATAACTATTAAATCTCAAATATTTGCTCTTTTTTGTTACATCGCTTTGTATCTGGTGATTCTTGATGTTGTACCTTGTACTTATTATATACTAGAGGCCTGGTGCACAAAGTTTGTGCAGGGAGTGGGCCTGAGCCATCAGTAGGATATCCTTAGCACCACAGCAGAGGCAGGAGAGGCTTCTGCCACCACCACTGCTCTCGCCAGCCAGTGGGAGTGCACTGACCACCAGGGGGGTAGCTCCTGCATTGAGCATCTGCCCCCTGGTGGTCAGTGTCCGTCATAGTGACCAGTCATTCCACTGGTTGATTGATTTGCATATTAGCCTTTTATTATATAGGATGTGTATGTGACTTTGGATATTTTTCCAAAAATAGAGAATTTTCCATAAAAATTAGTGTGTAAGAACCATGTAGTTCTTATTTAAAGGGTCCTTATGCAAGTGTTACTTTCTAACTTTTTTTGTGCTTAGTTGTGTCAGAATATTGATTGAGCATAATCAGTAGCACTCTTTTAAAAAAATGTTGCTGTTATTTTTTTTTTTTTCACTTTTAGAAAGAAATTTGGATCTCTAATTCAGTGTTAGAATGGCATCTGTTTCAGGTTAGTGGACATATTTACATTTCGTTTTTCATTCTGTTCTTTTTCTACTTGTATGTTCTTTGAAAAAAATACTTGCTTTTCTCTGTACCTTCACTTCAGCTTTGCTGTGAAGCTTAAACTGCTCTAACTAAAAGTCTTAATAAAAATAAATAAATACAATAAATTTAAAATATATTTGTTTTAAAAATTCTGATTATAGCCCAGGCCGGTTAGAGCATTGTCCCAATACACCAAGGTTATGGGTTCATCCCGGGTCAGAGCACATATAGGAATCAACTAATGAATTCTTTAATAAGTGGAACAACAAGTCTGTTTCTCTTTCCTTCTCCATCTCTCCCCTTCCCCCTCTTCCTAAAGTCAATTAATAAATAAAAAATTTAAGAAATTGTTGATTCTAGAAATGCTGTTTTTTTAGATTGAAAAAAAGTGTGTGTGTTTTTAAATATTGATTTCAGAGAGAGGAAGGGAAAATTAGAGAGATAAACCTCAATGATGGGAGAGGACATTAATTGACTGTGTCCTGCACACACACACACACACACACCCCGCCCCCACTGGGGATTGAGCTTGCAACCTGACTGGGAATTGAACAGTGATCTCCTGGTTCATGGGTTGATGCTAACTAACCACTGAGCAACACCTGCTGGCCTGTTTGTGTTTTTTTCAGATTTTTAAAAATTATGGTAAATATACATTACAAAATTTACCATTTTTACTTTTTTTTTTTTTTTTTTTTTTTGGTAATTCTCTAAAGTATTGGTGTCGAACTCAATCAGAGAAGGGGCCAAAATCTAAAATCCAGCCTAAATCGCGGGCCGAATGGTTTACTGAACAGTCATAAACTGTCATTGCGATGGAAACGCAGCGGAGTGCAGTGATGACAGCGCGGTGCGGGCCACATTGCAAGGCCTGGCGGGACGGATTTGGCCCGCGGGCCTTGTGTTTGACACATGTGCTCTAAAGATTTGATTTTCATTGAGTCTAGAGACCTAGGAAGGGAGAGGGAGAGAGAGAAACATCGATTGTCTCATGAACGCCCTGACTGGGGATCAAGCCCACAGCCTGTGTATGTGTCCTGACCTTGAATTGGACACATCACCTTTTGGTATATGGGATGACTCTCCAACCAACTGGGCCATGCCAGCCAGGGCATCATTTTCACCTGAGGATATTTTTCCCATTGATTTTTCAGAGCGAGAGTGGAAGGGAGGGAGGAGGCAGAAAGAGAGAGAAACATCAGTGTGAGAGAGACACATCAATTGGTTGCCTCCTACTCGCGACCCGACAAGGGTTTGGTCTGAGGTCTGACACTCTAACCAGTGAGCCTTTTAACTTTTTTAAGTGTACAAGTCAATGGCATTAAGTGCCTTCACATTGTTGTGCATCCATCACCAGTATTCATCTCCCGGACTTTTTCATCTTCTCAAACTGAAGCTCTGTATCCAACTAAACAATAACTCCCGATTTCCCCCTTTCTTGCAACCCCTGGTAACACTGTCCCATTTAAAAAAAAAAAAATATATATATATATATATTTTTTTTTTTGTCTAGGAATTTGATTGTTCTAGGCACTTCATTTAACTGGAATCATATAATACTAGTCCTTTTGTGTCTAGATTATTTCACTCAGCACAATGTCTTTGAGGTTCATCTATTTTGTAACATGTATCTTTTTAAGGCTGAATAATATTCTATTGTATGTTTATAACAGCTTTAATTTATCCATTTGTCTGTCCCTGGACATTTGGGTGGTTGCACCTTTTGGCCAATAGTGAACAATCCTGATATGGACATTGGTGTATAAATATCTGAGTCCCTGCTTTCAGCTGTTAGGCTTTATACCCAGAAATGGAATTGCTAGATGACAAGGTGATTTTTTTTTTTTAGTAACTTGCCATACTGTTTTTCATAGTGGCTGCACCATTTTATATTCACACCTGCAATACATAGGGGTTGCAAGGAAAATATATGTTTTCTGATACAATTTTTGGAACCTAAAAATTGAAAAGTGGAAAATACCAATCACTTCTAATCTTATGCTATAACATTTAGTTTATTATTAAAATTTTTAAACATTTTGTACATATTGTTTTGTAATGTGACTTAAAAATCATAATGCAAATATAGAATATAGACATATTATTAAATAAATTCTATGTTGTAAATATCCTAACACTTGCACTGTATTCTGTTGTTTTGAAGTGACATTAAATAAATAATATTCCTTTCATTGTTGAACTTTTATATTTGTTTTCATTTTTAAAACATAAAAAAATGCTGCCTTCAACATCCATGAATTGAAAGCTTTGTGCGCTCCTCTGATTATTTCTTTAAAGTACATTCCTATAAGTGGAGTAATTTCAGATGTCTTTAAAATATAAAAGAAAAACATTTGTTTTACCTTTTCCAGGCAGATATGCTTGGTATTTTGATATATGTCTATCCATTATTTGTTCCTGTAAACTTGACCAGATTCTACTGTGCTTTGTAGTGATACCTTGCTCTTTATTCGGTTAAGAGGTGGTGGCAGGAGTGTTGTGTATATAAACTAGCTCTAACAAGATTAGTTTTTTCTAACTTTGAAGAAGTGGCTTTCTTAAATATGAGACATGCCCCTTCCCTTCCCTTCCCCCCTCCCCTTCAACTTTTATAATTTATTTAAATATAAACATGAAAAAATAATGACATAGGTTTTGGCTTTGACTCATGCCTCCTTCTCATACTTTGAGGGTTAATTACAAATGGTCAAAATTTAACTTATATTAAATGCTAACCCAAGCAGTCTTTACTTAGAGATGAAAATGAGGGTTTAAGAGATGTCACTGAACCTCAGCTCAGTTCAGCATTCTCATTTTTGGATTGCATATGTTATTTTACTTCAGACTTCATTCAGCTTTGTCAGTGGAATATAACTTTAAAATACCTGAACAATGAAATAGATAAATTTTATTTAAGTAGAGATGCTTATTTCAAATAACTGCTTTCATAATATTGTACCCCTTTCAAAGAAATCGAACTCCTCTCTTGTTCTATCCACTTGTTGAACTATATTTGAACTGGCTCTTTGAGATTGACTTCAGGTAATTTGTTACTTTGGATCTGATGGCTTCCATGGTGGTAAGTCACTGTCCTTTCAGTGTTAACTTCAGTTTGTGATATTGTTAGAAAAGGAGCTGTTTCTGAGGAATGGCACCTCCCATGCTGTGAGCTTAAAAACACTGGTCATGAATTGTCACCATTTAGTCTCTGTCTTAGCATCCATCATTCTCATTTATTATGTTGTCTAGTTGAAAGGCAGTATTTCCCACTGTCATCCTGACTTAGAGAACAGCCACTCCGCAGCTCTTCAGGGATGCTGAGGCTCCCCTCATGACTGTATTCCTCATGACCTTGGTGAAGGGAGTATCCTCTGGATCCCGTTGGGGGGTACAGCAAGAGAGCAGATGATCAATTTACCTGATAATCCACTTTAGCATTCCCATCTCCCTAAGCCTCTGGATCCCCTCCTGTATAGTATACCCAGGAAGTTCTGACCCTTCAACTTCATTGGAATTTACACTTGTGTTGTTTCATCCAACTTACTTCTATTCATCTCCAGGGCCCTGTTTCTGGCTACCAACTAAGTAAATTATTAGAGCGACTCCTGGACACTATTGTAGCACACTAAATCCAGAATTTCTTACTGAGTCCATACTAATAAGTTAAACTTTATTTAATACTAGAGGCCTGGTGCATGAAATTTGTACATGGAGGGAGGGGTCTATCAGCCCAGCCTACACCCTCTCCAATCTGGGACCCCTCAGGGGATGTCCGACTATCTGTTTAGGTCTGATCCTTGCAGCCAGGATGGGGCCTAAACCGGCATTTGGACATCCCTTTCTCATTCCAGGACTGCTGGCTCCTAACTGCTCCCTCCCGCCACCATGGCTTTGTCCAGAAGCACATCCAGATGGGTGTCCGGAGACTGTCCAGTCAAATTAGCATATTACCCTTTTGTTAGTATAGATTATTTCCCACCCACCCTGATTTATTACCCTTAGGATCTCTTCCCATATTTATTCCCTAGGTTTCTGGTGATAGATATTGGCAAATGCAACTCTGGTGTGTTTTGTGTCTTCTCATGGGTTGCACTTTTATACCTCATCCTCGAGGGCTTCCTGGGTCTGGAAGCACTGAGAGGTGGTGGGTGGGAGATCAGTCCTTTGCAAAACAACCACTTCAGGAAAGACCATTATGGGCATTTCAGGCAGGAGAAAGCTGTTTCAGAAAGGGAAGGGCAAAAGAGACTTGACAGATTTAATGCTCAAGGTCCCCTGTTTCATTGGAATCTGCCCCGATGTTCCCATCCCAGTTGCAGAGTGACACTTTTTCCTTAACTTTAATACAAGTCCCTGCAAAGTTGGGGAATTCAATTTATACTGTATTATAGCCATCTGCAGGATTAAGATTTAGGGTTGGTATTCAGTAATCTTGACCTTGTGGCAACTTTGAGGCCCTTCATTTTTCTACACAAGTTCTCCAGCATTCTTCAAAGCTACCAGTTATTCCCATTATTTTCACCAAAATGTTCTGTGTCAGGAAACTCTTGGCCAGCTAAGTCTTAAGTAAGACACCAGTATAAGTGTGATACTTAATTATACTGGTGTCTATAGATTAGAATTTAAATAACTTTGTCTACTGCATGCCATGGAATACCATTGCCCCTTTTATCACTGCAAACAAAGAACATCAATATCTTTATTTATTTATTTATTTATTTAAAGTATATTTTATTGATTTTTTACAGAGAGGAAGAGAGAGGGATAGAGAGTTAGAAATATTGATGAGAGAGAATCATCGATCAGCTGCCTCTTGCACAGCCCCTACTGGGGATGTGCCCACAACCAAGGTACATGTCCTTGACCGGAATCGAACCTGGGACCTTTCAGTCCACAGGCCGACGCTCTATCCACTGAGCCAAACTGGTTTCGGCGGAACATCAATATCTTTAAATCTAATCAGATCAGAGGACCAATTTCAGGTGGCCCAGAAGCAATTCAGAGAACCCACCCTTAAGTTTCTGTTCATCTGGAAAAGCACTGGGTATTGGCTAGGTTTCAATCAGATAAAGCGATTTATTATAAGGACTAGTTCCTGCATAGTCACTGGAGCTGGTTAAGCAGTCCACTGCTGGACCTGAAGTCAGTAGAGCCAGCATTAGGGATGGAAAGATGGATGTGAAGTGTGGGTGGGTGAGGATCAGCTGAAACCCACAAGGACTTTGTGGAACCCTCCTGATTCTCACTGGGAATCATATTGGTGTGTCACTGCCTACAAGGATCTGACTTCATGGATGCTGGTGCCTTGCCGAAGATCTGGTGTACTTGCTATGGGAAGTTGCACATGAAGTTGGTCAAGGACTCAGAGAAGCTGTGGGCCAAGCTACTGCCCCAGGGAGGTTCCTCAGGGGCTGGAGGAGCTGGCTTCTGCCCCATGCCAACAAGGTGAGGCAGAAGATGCATGACGACATGAGTGAGCTGCAACAGCATCTGACCTTATGCCAACCACCTGAATGTAAACCTGCCTGCTCTTTTTTCCACCCTCCAGATTTCACACAGAGTTCACTTGTGGCCAATCCTAACCCAGAATCCTACAGGGAAGGGAGTTCTGTCAGTTGGTGCAATACAAAGTCACCACAACATCCTATTTTAAATCATAACCATAAGACTTTATCTCATTAAAAAATGAACACTGAATAATGCAGGCAGATGTGTTTTGGACACACCAACAACATTTTTAAATTTTTTACAGTGTCCTTTGATAGGATATCAAAAGAAATCTCACTTTGACTTTGTCTGATTAGAATCATACATTAAGGCTTCTTTATAAATTAATGATGGAGTTGTAGTGCTAATTTTAATAGCACATGATTTCTTTTTTTTAATTGTTTATAATTATTGATTCCTTATCATGCCACTATATGAACCTTAATGTGAATGTTTTTTCACATTAGGGTTAGGGTTAGGGTTAAGGTTAGGGTTAGGGTTAGGGTTGAAATAATAGCTAAAAAGATCGGGGACTGCTTTTAAATAGCTTGTGTTTGCTTCATAGTTGGATCACTTAATTTAGGAGATTGTTGGCCCACTGTCCTACAACATATTAAAATAGATATCATTTGTAAATGCTTAACTTGTACCAGGTACTGTGTCAAGAAACTTCAACATGTTATCTCACTTAATTCTGTACAATTGTGCTATGAAACCTAGGTATTATCCCCATTTTACAGATGGGGAAATTGAGGCTCAATTAAGTACCTTGCCCGAGCTCACTCAGCAGGTAAGAGGAGGACCTGAGATTTACTAGTTAAGTCAGGCCTGTGTGACTCCAAAACAATGTTCTTAACCATACTGCAGGATTTATAAGCTTGTCTGTGATTTTGATGGTGAGGAATATTAAAAAATTATTAGGGAAACAAAATTGTAATTGACTGTCTTGTCATCCTATCTTTTTTCCTCCCTCATAGCTCTAACTGAGGAATTGGATTCGGTGAACAACGAGCTACATGCAGTAGACATTCAAATTCAGGAGCTTCTGGAGAGGCAACAAGAGCTAACTCAGAGAAAAAACATCCTAACGAACAGAATAAAGCAGTGTTTGGAGGATTCTGATGCTGGGGGAAGCAATGAATGTGATTCTTCACCTGCCTCTTGGAATAAAGAAGGTTTATTCTTTTTTTATTTGCTAGTTTTTTTCTTCTTTCTTTAAACTGGAGTCAAATCATTGTACCAGGGCCAGTATTTTCCAGTAAGTGTAGAGGCCATTCCTTAAGTGGCATAGAAAGCTTAGAGGCAGACCATTTACCCATGTTCTGTACTCTTTTAAAATTAAGCTTTTATTATTCAGACTACTACTTTTTTCCAAATATGATTAACAACGTTAATGTTAATAACATGGATCAATGCTTGGAAAAAGGAGATATTTATTTTAACTAAATTTTCTAAATTTTCACTAGACAAAATTAAACAATTAAGAAAAAAGTTCAAACTTTCTGCTGATGTCTAGTTCATTTCCCTGTTCTACTGAACAAACCTTTTTTGATTTACATTCCTTCAAAGCATCATGTGTATCACTAATTATAGTGAGAGACAGAGAAAGTCAAATACTACATGATTTCACTTATATGTGGAATCTAAAAATTAAAATAAAACAGAAGTAGACTTAAATAAATGCAGAGAACAGCCGGTTGATTGCCAGATAGGACAGGGGTTGGGGAAATGGGTGAAAACGGTGAAGGGATTAAGTAGAACAAATTGGTAGTCATGTGAGTGTAAAGCACAGCACAGAGAATATAATCAATGATATTGAAATAACTGTGTGGTGCCAAGTGGCTACTAGATTTATGGGGGATTACTTTGTAAGTTATATAAATGTCTCACCCTGTACTGTACACCTGAAACTAATATAATATTGAATGTCAGCTATAATTGAAAAATAAATAAACATTGATGAACAACCAAAAAATAAAAATAAAAAGAATACTATAACTTGAGAAGGAATTGCAGAGCTTTTATGGGCCTTGTTTTTTAGGGATTCACTTGTAAACAAGATATTTACACCAAAAGTTCCAGATAATTGTTAATTTTATTCATGATATTTGAATTTTTTATGATACTTTGAATTCCTTGGTTGACTTTCAGATGGTTTTTCAAATATCTTCTTTTGTGTTAATTTTCAACTGGCATATGCTTTGATTTTTTTCCCTGATATACAGCTTTTTTTGGAGGTTCTGTTTCTTACGATATATCATTAAATTTGCTTTTGCTTTAGTTTTGTGACTTACACTAATCTCAAAATTGTTCTTATGAAAGTTAAATTGTCCATAGAATTAAAAGTCTTATATATATTTATCTGACCCTGCTCTTAGAAAGCAGCCATACACATGTGTCTCATTATAGTCCCAAACAGTCTAATATATTTAGCTTATTTATCTCTTTCTAGATTTTCCATGGTCTGATAAAGTTAAAGATGTTCTGCAAAATGTCTTTAAACTGGAGAAGTTCAGATTGCTTCAGCTTGAAACTATTAATGTAACAATGTCTGGAAAGGATGTATTTCTTGTTATGCCTACAGGAGGTGGGAAGAGCTTATGCTACCAGTTACCAGCATTATGTTCAGAGGGTATGTGTTCATAAAGAGTGATTTTAAATTGAAGAAATGTTATTTCTCTTTACACACACACACACACACACACAGTATATACTTTAAAATGTATTTTTATTGATTCTAGAAAAAGGAAAGGAGAGGAAGAGAAAAACATTGATTAGTTGCCTCCCCTGCGCACCCTGATAGAGAATCGAACTAGGGACCTTTTGGTGCTCTGCATGATACTCAACCAACTGAGCGGCACTGGCCAGGGCTCTCTTAATATGTATATAATAATTTTATTTTTTATTTTTTTAAATATATTTTCATTGATTTCAGAGAAGAAGGGAGAGTGACAGAGAGATAGAAACATCAATGATAAGAGAGAATCATTGATCGGCTGCCTCCTGCACGCCCCCCACTGGAGATCGAGCCCACAACCCAGGCATGTGCCCTTGGCCGGAATCTAACCTGGGACCCTTCAGTCCACAGGCTGATGGCTAGGGCTTAATATATTTTTAAGTATTCAAAAAAATAGTTACATGGGACTAACTTCTTTCTGTGGTTATTTTAAGTAACAAACTATAGGAACATGAGGTCATATGTTTTTAACAATGTAGAATAGCTTTTATAGCTGTCAACACTTTCAGTTATAAGAGAAACAAGATATATTGCCAGAACTTCATATAGTCAATGCACTGTTCACTGATTTCTATTCAGAATAAATTAATCTGGTGCAGTAAGTGGATGAATACCCATGAAACATTTTCAATTCTATAGATTGCTATAGTTTTTATGGAGAGATAGGCAGCTTTGGAATAACTTTTCCCTGATGTAATTGGATAGTATTTGATTTATATCATTTTACTGTGATTGCCAATACTGATTGTTAAAAATGATAGTGAATTCAAAATTCAAAATATCTGGCTTTATGTTTGTAGGACTGAATAAGGGAAGAGATTTCTGCTTAATCTTAAATTTGCTTATTTGGCTTAGGGTCATTTATTCGTATCTTCCTTCTATATTAATGAGGGTAAGAAATAGATAGTATACTACATTGAAAATTAGTCTGAATTAATGGATAGCACCCACAAGTTATGGTAAAGAAGGTGACTCGTTGAAACTTGTTCTGGTGGTGGTATTAAACTGAAGTAAATTTTTCTTTTTCAGGTTTTACACTCGTGATTTGCCCATTGATTTCTCTTATGGAAGATCAGTTAATGGTTTTAAAACAATTAGAAATTTCAGCTACCATGTTAAATGCTTCTAGTTCTAAGGTATGGTCTGTATTATTTTTTATTGTGTTTTAACTCTTCCCTGAAGTAAGAGCCTTAACTACAATTGAGTTGTTTATAAAATGAAAACTGATTACTATTTATATCAGGAGTTGTAAACTACTGCTAATGGGCCATGTCTAGCCCATTGCCTATTTTGTATGGTTTGTGAGTTAAGATAGATTTTTATATTTTTAAATGGTTAAGAGAAAAATAATACATTTTGTGAAGTGTGAAAATTATATGAGATTTAGTTTTTATTGCCCATAATTAAAGTTTTATTGGAACATAACCATGCTCACTCATTTACACTTATTCTCACAGAAGTTCTAGTATTTTATTTTTGCATAGGCCCATTTCTGAGGAGATAGCCTTATGTTTGCTCCCCTAAGCTTTCTGGGACATTTAGGACACAGTTGAAATGTTTAATACACTTTGTCTATTTCTTAACAAAATTAGGACTATCTCAAGGAGTTAACACACATACTGCTTTCTGGGACGATGAAAGCAGTTTTGACCTTCTCTATCTCATTCAGCATTGTTTCTTCATACTTCTTTGAGTCCTAATCAAATGAGAAGGAAAAGTATGACATCTACTGGGCAAAATATTATATAAAATAGTAACAAAGCACTGAGAACCTAATAACTTACCTCTTAAGATTTATTATTGTTATATATAACATAAATATGTATTTCACATTATAAAATTTTAATTCAATTAATAAGATACTTTATAAAACCTAAATAAGAGGATTATGAGTAGATTTGACAGCATCATTAACTAGGTAATCAAGAATAAATTATGTGCACAGAGATATGCAGTGTTACAAATGTCTGTTAAGATTAATAAAAAACACACCTTTGTAATCATAGTTATTACAAACAATTTAGAATTATGCCATCATAGAATAAATGCTTATTTGAGTATCTTGACATTCATTTCTTATTCTTAAGTAAACAGCTAAAATTCTATTTGCACAGCTGCCATGAAGTTTAGTTCTGAGACATGGTTTCCATTTTAATGAACTAAATATCTGCTGTTAAACAGCTCCAGGCTATTGCTTTTGAGTAATGAACATCTTTTACCACTTAATATTGCAGTCTGCTAGTTTAGTTCTATATTGTGTCTGTTTTTCCTTTCAATAGGAGCATGTGAAATGGGTTCATGCTGAAATGGTAAATAAAAACTCCAAGCTAAAGCTAATTTATGTGACTCCAGAGAAAATTGCAAAAAGCAAAATGTTTATGTCAAGACTAGAGAAAGCCTATGAAGCAAGGAGATTTACCCGAATAGCTGTGGATGAAGTTCACTGCTGTAGTCACTGGGGTCATGATTTCAGACCCGGTATGTATCTTGTAGCCAGAAAACTTGATACTGGGGACTATTACTCAGCTTTACAGGATGGAAAATTCCTGCTTCCATTAAAATTATCCTCTTGGGTGGTTATTACTCATTTACTTTTGCCTTAATATAAGGAGAGTCAAGAGGCAAAATCTTTCTGTTTACTCCCTCTAAGGTAGTATTTAGGTTAATTGTCTTTGTTCTTTAAAATGTATGTCTGTTAGCATAAATACTGTTCTACCTTTAGCCATAAAGATTTATTGACCTCTCAGCTCTTTTTCACATCTACTGAGGAATTTGCATCTGCTTCAAAGCTGTCTTTAGTTGTCATTCTGAGCCGTTAGCATCCACTTCAGGACCTATATTCAGCTAACTCCTCAGTGGTAAAGTTCCATGGGATATTTTAATAACTCTTTTCTTTACTCCTCACAGTGATAGCCTGAAGCAGATTGTTCAGACTTGTTCTATGTAAAAATATCTTAAATTAAAAAATCCTGCTTTATGATTTCAACCTCTTTTCCTTTTGAACCTACTTTCACACTCATATGGACCTCTGGGTTCCTGAGTTTATTGAATCACACTTCCTCCTTCTCCACCTTATTCAGAAGTCACCAGAGACCCTCCTTCCCACTGGCTAACTCCAGTGGTCTCATCTTTATTCCTCTTCCCATTGAACTGCAATAGCATTTTATACTGTTCACCTCTCATCTTACCACTTTCTTTTCTTTCGGTTAATATGTTACTTTTTTTATTTTGTTCTTTTTCATTCTTACCTCCTTCATTCTTCTTCCTTTGCCACCTCCTTAAATATTAGTGTTCTTTTTGGTTTTGATCTGTCTTCACTTTTTCTTCTACTTCCCCAAGGATAGTAGACTCATAGCCTGAAGATAATTCTCTACTTTCAGAAATATTGGAAGCACATGTATTTTTTTTTTTTATTTGATTTAAGTGCTTTAGGCGGTATATACTATCTTTTCTACTAAGAGCCCTACTATCTTAACCAGACTACTCTACAGAATAAATTGTACTGTTTTATTATAGCTTGGTAGTGTAGTTTGAAATTCATAAGTGTGATACTTCCAACTTTGTTCTTCTTTCTCAAGATTGCTTTCACTTCTGAGGGTCTTTTGTTGTTCCAAATAAATATTAGGATTTTTTATTCTAAGTATTGTGGGAAACGCCCTTGGTATTTTGATAAGGGATTGCATTGACTTTGTAACTCTCTTACAGTACTATTGACATTTTGACAATATTAATTATCCGATCCATGAGTATAGTATATATTTCTATTTGTGTTCTAATTTGGACGCCTTCCCTTTATCTTGCCTAATTGCTTTGGCTAGGACTTCCAGTACTATCTATAATAATAGAAGTGTAATATGCTAATTAGACTGGACGTCCTTCTGAACAAAGCTGAGGCTGCGAGGGAATTCTGGGTCCCGGATGCCAGAGGGGAGCTGGTGCCGGCAGCCGGGGGAAGGAAGGCCTACTCTGGCATGAATTTCATGCACTGGGCTTCTAGTGTTGAATAAAAGTGGAGGAAGTGGGCATCCTTGCCTTGTTCCTGGTTTTAGAGGGAAAGCTTTCAGTTCTAACTCGCAACCACAGAGGAATATATAATAGTTTCCTACTTACTGGCCTTGGCAATAGATCCAAATATCATAACACCCTGTGATTTAGCCCCACTGAACTTGCTGTTATTGCAACTTCTCAAGTAATTTCATGCCAGTGTGTCTGCAGTGTGTGAGCTGTTTCCTCTGCCTGATGTCTTCCTCCTCCCTTCCTAGGAACTCTGCTCATTCTTCAAGACCCAGATCAATGTTAGCTCCTGGAAGCCTTCACAACTTCTCAAATGGTTACTTTCTCCTCTGTAGTTTCATAGTCCTCTACCTTAGCCTTTAGCATTTTCTTTTTCACTTCTTTCTAAACAATATGTGTATTTAAGGACAACTTATCTAGCAATGTAGATGTATATGACAAGTATGAGACCAGAATGATTCCCCTGAAATAGGTTATATAAAAAGCAGTGCCCCCACTAAGCTTTTTCTGGTCTGAATTTGCCACTCGTGGATGCTTCTGGTGACACCGTAGAAGGGTTTAGGCTGATGGCCTCTTTTATCTCTTGTCAATTGTAATAGACTCAAATATTATGGCTACTCCCATTGCCTCTTAAATCCCCTGTTCACCAGGTGTGGACCAGTGCATACTAGAAATGGTAGATATTTCCTCCCTTCAACAGAGAGTTCCCATCCATGGCCAAGAACAGTGTTTTCAAAGAATCAACTAAAAGTATAAGAAAGCCCGCCTATTCAAAAAGACTAGGCTGCAACTGCAGATTTACTGAGATAGCTAGCTATGGAAATCAAATCACAGCAATCCTTGATTATCGCCATTATGTTATGAGGCTTAATTTACTCTATTCCTTAAAGGACGGAAAGAGGGCCACTTTGTTTTTTTTTCCCCCCCAGATTACAAGGCACTTGGTATCTTAAAGCGCCAGTTCCCTAACACAGCACTGATTGGGCTGACTGCGACTGCAACCAGTCATGTTCTGAAGGATGCTCAAAAAATACTGTGTGTTGAGAAGTGTTTTACTTTTACAGCTTCTTTTAACCGGCCAAACCTTTACTATGAGGTATGTAACTTCTGTGAAGGGTTGTGGCAGAGAGGTGACCTTTTCATTATGCTTACCAGTATTTACCTGAGTAACAGTTAACTATGTTTAAAAAGCTTTTAAAATCAGGGGTTAATTATAAGATTCATTAATTAATGCCTTCTTCTGATATCTATTGTGCTGCATATTCTTTGTTAGTTTAAGTAGAAGATGCTGCCTTGTTAAATTTATGTACATTTTTTTCTTGTGCAAGGGTGGGAAAAGAGCATAGATTGTCACCAAGGATCCTAATGACACCCTATTAAAATTAATTATGAAATAATACAAAATTAGTATGCCATTCAAGATTTGTTAATCCCCCTATTTAGATTATATTTGATATGTAACTTTGAAAGTTAAATAACCTAACAATTGTTTTTTCTTTCTTTTTTATAATTCCTTTAAGAATAGACAATGTTTTTCTGAGTTTTCATTGAATAGCTATTCCATGGTTTATATTTTTATAAAAGTAGCACCAGAAAATAGTCCCCATCTTTACAAGTTATTCACTGCTTCTGTGCCTCCTCATTTCTGGGAAATTAAAAAATAAGGATGAAGAAGAGGTTAGGAGGAGGTGGTGGGGTGAGGCTGATGGGTGAAAGAATAATAGGAAAAAACACAGTGTTCATGAAAGAATCATGTGAAAGATGTCAGTAAGTGACTACTTGGGTGGTCCTCATTAAGTTACTTTTTAATAAGTTAGCTTTTTTTAGGTTCGTCAAAAGCCTTCAAACACTGAAGATTTTATTGAGGATATTGTAAAGGTCATTAATGGGAGATACAAAGGGCAATCAGGTAATAAAATAACAAACCAACTTTGTAGACAGAGAGAACTTTCAAAAAAGTAATTAATATTACACTGATATACTAATAAATGATTAGGACCAAAAATATTATGGTAATGCATGGCAGAAGGTGCTTGAACATGTTATGGTAAAATTAATTTGCTTGGCCATCTTAGAAACTATATGTGGCATTTGCTAACTGTCTGATTTATTTTTGCTTATTTACACTTAATTGTTTTAAGGAATGGATCTAATGTCATAAATATTAATTTTTAATAGCCTGTAGTCAGTAAGGATCCACTGTGTATAAGACAGAAGTAACCACTGATGATCTAAAGTAGGGGTGTCGAACTCAATCAGAGAAGGGGCCAAAATCTAAAATCCAGCCTAAATCGCGGGCCGAATGGTTTACTGAACAGTCATAAACTGTCATTGTGATGGAAACGCAGCGGAGTGCAGTGATGACAGCACGGTGCGGGCCACATTGCAAGGCCTGGCGGGACGGATTTGGCCCGCGGGCCTTGTGTTTGACACATGTGATCTAAAGGGATGTAAAATGTAGCCCCTTATAATAAAGAACCTATTAAAGAAATAAATAGAACATATTGAATGAGTTAAGTATAGATGGAGTTCAGAGTATGTATAACTGTGTTTCAGGATAATGAACAGGCAAGTATTACTGAAGCAAAGAGTTTGTATAAAAGCAGCATTTCAAAACTGCTCTATAGATTTTCAGGAGATAGGAATGGGTACCCCAGGTAAAGGGAGTTCCAGGGTTAAATAAGTTTGAAAAAGGCTGCAACTAGCCATTTATCTCTCCTGAGAGTCATGGGGTGTATCTGCTTTGACCAGCCCTACAAACAAACAGAGAAACTTAACTTAGTTCAGTGCATTGCTCCCCAAACTCATTTGCACCTGGAACTTTTTTCACAGACACTTGCTAACCTCTTAAGGAGCTGTGAGGCGTCAGTTTGAGAAACACTCTAGTGGGAAATAAAGTTGGAGAGAGGAAAGGGCAATGAGACCCACCACCTATGGCTTAGGGTGCATGTCTGCTCATGATCAAATCGTGAATTATACCAAAAAATCAATATGTGTCAGGGCCTTGACATTTTTCATAAATTACTGTCCCCTGTATTAATCGCTATCTTGAGTGTTAAAAACGCTCTTCCAGGAATATGCTATACTTATAACTCTAACAATTGGACATATTTTCGTACAGGAATCATTTATTGCTTTTCTCAGAAGGACTCTGAGCAAGTTACAGTTAGTTTACAGAAATTGGGAATTCGTGCAGGTGCATACCATGCCAATATGGAACCAGAAGATAAGACCACGGTTCACAGAAGGTGGTCAGCCAATGAAATTCAGGTTAGGTATATGTCTCCAATAGAAACCTAATTCACCTTTAAGAGTGTTTTCGCTTGACTTAAATAACATATGAAATGTTAAAACATTTTAGGTAGTAGTGGCAACGGTTGCATTCGGTATGGGAATTGATAAGCCAGATGTGAGATTTGTTATTCATCATTCAATGAGTAAATCTATGGAAAATTATTACCAAGAGAGTGGTCGTGCAGGTATGTATAGCTCAAATCCAGAAGTCATTTTTAAAAAAGCTTTTTCAGAACACACACTGTAAGTGGTTTAATAATTCTGTATTTTTAATCTTTATTGGCTACTATTTTTAGAATAATAAGACTTTTTCACAGTTTTATACTTATTTGCCTATGGAGAAATTTTACTTATGTATGTTCTATTAAAGTGTTATGAATTGTTTCTTCTGTTTGCTAAGATAATTTGATATAATTTGATATCTTTACCTCCTGAGTTTTTAATTAGTGGATTCAACTCTGTAACTTTAAGTATCCGGATTACTTACGGACACATTATTTTTTAATTCTCACTCGAGGATACATTTTCATTAATTTTAGACAGAGAAGAAGGGGGAGAGAAACATCGATGTGAGAGAAAAACATAGATGGGTTGCCTCCTATATACGCCATGGCAGGGACCGAACCCACAACCTTTTGGGATACAGGGTGATGTTCTAGCCTACTGACCCACCCAGCCAGAGCTGGACACATTTTTAAATTAATAAAGCTGAATGTTAGTAAGTCTTCTAGTCATTTAAAAAAATTTGAGGAAAATTGTTACAAATTAACTTACACTTTTTTTGTCTGAAATTTATAGATGTTTTAAACTTAGACAATGAAGCATAGCCGGCTGACTTTGCATATATTTTTGCTTGCTTTGAATTTTTAAAGTAATTATGCAATCCCAAGATCTTTCCTACTACAGGTAGAGATGACACGAAAGCGGACTGCATTTTGTATTATGGCTTTGGAGACATATTCAGAATCAGTTCAATGGTGGTGATGGAAAATGTGGGGCAACAAAAGCTTTATGAGATGGTGTCATACTGCCAAAACATAAGCAAGTAAGCCACATGTCTTTTCATAACTTTTGTCAGTTAAAGACAAATCACAGTGTGAAAGTATATGATGTTCCTTTGAGTACTTAGGAAAGTCAGTAAATACATTGGTAAAACAGCAAGTGCAAACATGTAAAAGCCGGTGTATGAAGTGTAAGAACAAGTACATGAACCTGCAAGATGTGCCTTAATCCAAGAAAAGATATTCTCTTTCTCTCTCTCTCTCTTCCTCTCTCTTTCTCTCTCGATAATTCTCCAAAATGCTGTCTTACTGAAGAGTCTGATAGAGATATTGAGTTTAAGCCTCCCCCCCACCCCCCAGCACGGGTGTGTAGCTGTATAATTTAATAATTACATTCAGGTGTATAAGAGGAGTTTTGAGAGTTGAGCACCAACCATCCTTCCAGCTGATGGATTGATGAAATCATTGAGAGCAGGGTCCAGTTTCTCCTTAAGAAATAAGTTTAAATCTATTTAGGGTAGATTTAATAAGACCATATAGCTACCTGATGGCTTTTCTGTCTTAGTCATCTTTGTACTCTTATTACCCATCATATAAAAATGACTCAAAATTTTTATATAAGCAGTAACCAGACAGTGACCAAAAAAAAAAAAAAAAAAAAAAAAAAATGGTATTTCTTTCCTATAGATGCTACAATAATCTAGTTAAAGAAATGAGAAAAAGAACATTTTTCTTAGATGTCCAGTAGATCCCCATGAAGCATATTTTGGGGTTTACACTCAAGTGGATACTATAAAGTACAAGAAACTGCTATCAGGAAGATGTTTTTAATAGTAAAATATTGAATCTCAAAATGAATCTCAGGCAACTTCTTAAAAGCTATGTTTATCAAGTATAATACCTTATGTGGCCAAAGGGAATTAAGGTTACAAATGGAATTAGGGTTGCTAACCAGATGATCCTGAAATAGGGAGATTAACTTGGATTATTTGGGTGGGCCCACTATAATCCAAAGGTCCTTACATTTGGAAGGAGGCAGAGGGTCAGAGTGATGTGATGTGAAGACTTACCCAGTGTGCTTGACTTTAAGATGAAGGAAATGAGGCCACAAGCCAATGAATGCAGGCAGTCTTTAAAAACTGGAAAAGACAATAAAACAAAACAGATTCTGTCCTCTAGTGCCTCCAGAAGAAACACAGCCCTGCTTATACCTTGATTTTAACCCAGCAAAATCCACATCAGACTTCCAACCTATCGAAATGTAACAATAAATATGTTGTCTTAAGACACTGAGTTTGTGATAATGATATGGCAGCAATAGGGAACTTATATAATAAGAGAATATGCTTAATTATCCATTATACCATGAGGCATAATGACAAGATCAGGGATCTGCAGGAAGGTGGGGTATCGAACTACAAGTAGGCAGGGGAGAGCTGTGGGAGGCAGAGAGTTACAGGAGGGGCAGGGCTGCAAACTATGAGGGGGTGGGGCGGTAAGGTAAGGAGGATGGGACAGCCGGCAGAGAGATGCAGGACGGTGGCAGAGAGCTACTGGCACATGGATTTGTGTGCAGGGCTCCCAGTACAAGATATAATCCTGTATTTTGAAATAGGGATCTTTAAAACATTATTAGATCACTTAACTTGTGTCTTTCAATGTGTTGGCAGATGTCGCCGTGTATTGATAGCTCAACATTTTGATGAAGTATGGAACTCAGAAGCATGCAACAAAATGTGTGATAATTGCTGTAAAGACACTTGTGAGTTGTTTTTTAAACCTTTATAGGCGAATATATTAATACATATACCAGAGGCCTGATGCACAAAATTTGTGCAAGGGGCTTGCCCTCATAGCCGTTGTGGCTGCCTCGGCCCTTGCAGCCACCGCTTCATCCGGAAGGTCATCCATCCTAATTACCATATTACACTTCTATTATTATAGATGGGTAAGACTACATGAGGGCAGTATTTGATCTAAAAATTGATTTAAAAGATTAAACAAGGTGTGAATAGAATTTGCCAGATTGAAAAGTAACAATATAGTTTTGAAACAAAGGCAAATATTGTGTGTATATATTTTATGTTGCTATTACTGAAGGCATGTGAAATAAATCGTCTGAATAGAAATGCTATTTATATAAGAAAAGGCTAATCTCATGATAATCTCTAGTACTTGATAGTAACTGATTAGGAAAATAGTTTTAGAACTGTATTTTAACTTTCATTCTGTGTTTGGGCGTTGTATTTTAAGAGCTGGACTAACCAGTTCCTTACTGAGTTCTAATGCCTTGGTGGATGAAGGTCCACTGTTTTTCATTTACAACTAGAGCAACTTACTTGTTTTAAGATTATTAGAGCATGTGTTGCTGACCAAATTAATGAGTCTGATATATAAAACAGAGTGCTAGTATCAATAATTGGGGATATCTGTTCAGGACAGTCTTGTCTCTGTATCAGACTAGCTGTGAAGCAATACTAGTTTTCAGGAAATTGCTTAAGAGCACACATCAGGTAAATATGCAGAATAGATTGACTCTCCTATAACACCTCTTAGTATCTGCATCATCGTGTCTGGTAAACACTCTTTGGTTCCAGAGCATACCCAAAGGCCTTCTGATATAGCTTATTTTCTTTCAGTGTTTTAAAGAATTTACAACTTAGGTTAGTGCCAGACTTGGGGAATAGCCTAGTTTTAATTCAGAACACATTAATAAACCAATGTGTAGGGTGGCTCACAATGATAACTTGTTTTGAAACCAGTTTAACCACTTGGAATAGACTATCTTTGCCCTAATTTCTAAATCCCCATTGTCTGTAACCATGTCTCTTTCATTATAGCATTTGAAAGAAAGAATGTAACAGCCTACTGCAGAGATCTAATCAAAATCCTGCAGCAGGCAGAGGAAATGAATGAAAAGCTCACTCCACTGAAACTGATTGATTCTTGGATGGGAAAGGGAGCAGCGAAATTGAGAGTAGCAGGTGTTGTTCCTCCCATACTTCCTCGGGAAGACCTGGAGAAGATTATTGCGCACTTTCTTCTACAGCAGTATCTTAAGTATACACCAACCCACTTCTTGTCTTTTCATGTTGTCTTTTATAATTTTTATAAAAAAACAGTACACGGGTTTATTTATTTTTAAATGTTTTTATTGATTTCACGGAGGAAGAGGGAGAAATAGAAGCATGAATGGGGTGAGGAGACAATAATTGATCGGCTGCCTCCTGCAGGCCCCTGACTGGGGGTTGAGGCTGTAACCAGGGCATGTGCCCTGAAACTTCCTGGTTCATAGGTCAACGCTCAACTATTGAGCCATGCCAGCTGGGCTACCTTTATTTTTTTTATTCATGGAATAAGTATATATTTTTCCAAAAAGATTACTTTTAAGAAAAACTCAAATTTGGATATATAACAATAATGATAATTATAGAATACTTTACATATTATCATTTTTATTACCTCATTTAATCTTAGCAACATGGAGAGATGAGACTAGACATTCTATCTTAATTTTAAAAATAAGGAAACAGACTTTACAGGCATTAGTTATATCTCAGTAGAACCATAAATAGGAGATATGTTAAACTTAAGAAGAAATAAAATAGTAAAATGTCTAAAACTAGTACCATAAGAATGATGACATTCAATCATAAGAAAAATGGGAAAATAAAATATTTTCTCCCACAAAACTTTTAAATGTCTTTATGATTATTTCTCATTTTTATAGTTGCCTCGAAATAAATGGTTTTGTGGTTGCTTCATATGAATGTTGAACACTATACAAAATGTACTTAAATTCCAACTATAATTGGTGTCAAAAAAAAGCATAAAGTGAAAGTACTTCCTATAAATTGTATTTTTATAGTGCAATTCTCATTGTTTCATATAAATATATGACTTAGAATTATTGCACATATGGTTATTTTTATATTTCCTGTAACTCCTCAAAACCTCTCTGATTGGCGGTCTTTATCTTCTGCAGAGAAGACTACAGTTTTACAGCGTACGCTACCATTTCCTATTTGAAAATAGGACCTAAAGCTAATCTTCTGAACAACGAGGCACATGTTATTACTATGCAAGTAAAGAAGTCCACGCAGACCTATTTCACGGTAACTATTTTCAAATATTTAAAAAATACATTAAAGCCTATGGATGCTTTTTTTTAATTAGTACTCTCCTAGGTTGAGTTGAACATAAAAGATAAGTCAGTGATTTAGAATCAAGATATGGAAGACATTAAGTGGGAGAATTTAGACTAACTTTTTTGTTTAGAGGAATTTCTAACTCCATTTTAATGTCTAATTTTGTAATACACCCTGCTCTCATGAGATCAATGTTGGTTGTGAAGACTGTGCAGAAGTTGAAAGGCAGTTATAATCTAAGTACTATCAAGTCTGCAAAAGCATGCCATATACAATTGTGTCTCAGGACACATTTCAAGAGCTAACTGATACAGAAGGACTATTGAGATTATGAATCTCATGAGATAACTGAATTTTTACCAGTGTTTGTTATTGTTTTGTAGATTGAATCATCTCAAAGTGGTGATTCTGAGGGATCTGATAAAAAGAAGGAAGGAAAAAATTCGGGCAACTTCCAGAAGAAATCTGCAAACAAACTTCAGCAATCTGATTCTAAGAATACAGGCGCTAAAAAAAGAAAAATTGATGAATGTTTCTAAATTTTCCAAGAAAATAAGTTTTATGCATGCGTACACCATTATTTTTGTAGTTAACAAGAAGCTTAAATTTTAAGACACTCATTTATACTTTATATACATGAAGCAGTATTTTAAGAACTTCTCTCTAAAGTATTGACTTGAGAATTTGAGAACTTTTGAAAATTTAAGAGCATGAACTGCATACAATTACAGTGTGAAATGAGGGGGAAATAAATTTTTAATGTAAAACCCTTTAAAAGTAAAATACTTAAGAGAATAAGTTCACATAACTATCTTAAGCTCTTGATGCCTTGTAATTTTTTTTTGACATAACTATCTTTTGATAGCAATGTTATTGTACTGAGTTTTACATAGGCTCATCACAAAAAGTGAGTACTCTCACATTATAACATATGTAGAATCCACACAAAAATAAGGTATCAATACTAATATTAGTAAGATGGCTATGTCTCTATTTAAGTAAAATAAAACTAAGCTTGAAACCATAGCCCTATTTTGACATTTCATAAAGAATGGCCCTTTGTAGACCAACCTAGCTCCAAAACTAAATCACAAGTGAACGTGTCTTAAGTTTAAAGCACATAAATGAGTAACTTGAAAATTCTTACATAAGTGGTTATGAGAGGCCAGTTTTGTGATAGAAAAAAATATACATGTAAGTTATCCAAACTTGATTTCATCTTTAGAATTTTATTTTTAAATACTTTTTCACTAAAGTCATTATCACTTTTGTATTTTTAACTTTAATGTGGTCACCATTAAATCAGTGGAGTCCTTCACATCATTGACTTGATATTTTGTCTTATTTGGAACTATGTGGTTCTTGAAATGCTCTCTTTAGTCAAAATAATCTTCTATATCAATGTTTGGATCTAGTAGATCTTCTCCATATGATGAAAGATTCATCTGGTTTAATATCAAGTTTTCAAATGTTTCTTCTAAATTGGTTTCACCAATTAAGACAGCTCCCATCATTCGTCCATTCTGCATGACGACTTTGATGTATTCTTGTCCTTTGGTACATCTCAGCATTAATTCATGATCTGAACCCAAGCTCTGTGCATTGTATTTTCCCAGCAATACAACCTATAAATATACATGTAGGGACAGAGTTATTCTAGTGGGGTGCCTAAAAGGAGACATAATAGGCAATTATTTTGTGTTATGCCAGAATGGCCAGCAGAAAAATCTGTTCCAAAATTTTATAGCTAAAAGCTGGAGCAGCTTCCAAAAAACCCCAAACGTCTGAATGGTATGCATTTATTCTACAGACGATAATGCCATACAATCTACCTGGACATTAACAATATCTAGTGAAGCCCTGGCTGGGTGGCTCAGTTGACTGGAGTGGTGTGCTGTACACCAGGATACATCAGAAGGTTGTGGGTTCATTTCCCAGTCTGGGCACATACCTAGATTGTGGATTAGATCTGCAGTTGGCATGTACGGGAGCAATCTATCGATGATTCTCTCCCTCTCTCTCTCTCTCTCCCCCCCGCCCCCACTTCCTCTAAAATTAATTTGAAAAACATATCCTCGGGTGAGGATTAAAATATCTACTTACGGAATATACAAATATGTAGAATATGTACCACATTAGCCTGAAGTCATGATTTAAAGATTAAATAAAGAACTGAATTAAATCTTGCTTAGCAAATTATTTAATCTCCCTGAACCCTGTGTATGTGTTTATTTGTGTATGTTTCTCTTTATCAGTAAATTAGGAACAAAAACTAGGCTCACACTAATGTAGAGAGGATTAAGTAAGATATTATGTATGGAAAATAACTTGGCTCACTCTTGAGTATGATAGCTATTAGTTTCCTGCACAAAGAAATAATCTCAAATAAAAATTAGAAATGCACCCCCAGGAAACACTATTAAGTGTAAAACAGTATAGTGGGAAGGGAGGTAACGATTATCAGATAATTAGGAATTAAGATCAGCAATAATACCAAGTACTGATTTGCATAAAATAAAATATTTCATTTTTCTGGTAAAAGGATTAAAACCATATGAACTTGTATTCAAGTAAGAAAATTTGATGATTATAATCAGTTACTAACAAGCAGAAAAAGGCACTAATTGGCTTATCTATCTTACCTTATAATTAAAAAACTTTGTTACGTGAGCAAAGAGTTCGAAGCTGAAATCCATGTCAATGGAGTCTCCTAAACTAGCTGCAGCCATGCACTTTGCTGCGTACCATCCCATCTGTCTAGCCTGGGTCCACAGCCTCATCTGAAATGAAAAATGTAATTCAGTATAGTTTTTCATTATCATTACTTGAAAAATGTCATCACTTAACCATGTAACATTCCTTAATGATGTTCAAGGTTTGACAGTCCTTGAGATTCGTTAGGTCTAGATCAGTTAAATTGGTTAGATATTTGGTTGGATCATCTTTGTCATAGAAGCAATCACCAATCCAAACTGATTGGCATTTGATTTTGGTATATGATAATTCTTCCTAAATTACTGCTTCAAAAATTAAAGATGACACCAACTTTTACATTTCAACAAAGTTTCTATTTAAAAATATATTTCAGGTTACACCAGATGATAACATTTTAACCAGTCTCCACTTGAGAATAAATTCCTCATCAGCATTAATAGAGATGTCAAATTATCACTGAAAAATGTGTTCCTTCTCTTAACCCTCATCTTGGTGCTGATCATTAAGGCCTACCCTTCAATTTAACCTCAATGGCCAGATTTATCACTTGGTGCCTAACCCCGAGACATCATTTCGGATTTCAGCAACTGATTCTGGGAAGTCATTTAAAATTCTTCTCTACATCAGTATTAATTTCTTCTGTATTCTGTTTTTACTGAATTTCTACAAAGCTTTGGGGTTCTCTAGTATAACAGAATACTGACCTTGGAAGTCAGTAGATTTGCATATCAACTCTACCTATTTAATTTTTCTGAGCCTCAGTTTCTTCACTTGAAATATAAACAGGTTAGCCTATAATAAGCAATTAGTAGTACCCTTATACCCCTATGTGTAACTAATGCTGTCTTTTTGTATGTAAAAATAATACCACAATCATGGATATACGCTTCAAGGATTTCTGATAGTAGTGACTTTTTTTTTTTTTTTAATTCAGTCTCCTCTATGTAAACAAGTTAGGCTTAATGAAGTAAGAGGCAGTCTCTGGTAAAGAAGCAGAGTAAACGGAGCACAATAAAACTAGAGGATGGCTAAAGGCAGTGGCCTACAATATTACCCTGCTGGACTATTATCTAGTTGATGTATTCCTGCTTCAGAGTCCCTTAAGTTTGCATCTTGGACTATGTAGAACAATTACTAATGTACTTACTGCTTCTGCAAATAAAAAGATGGGATCTATTAAGATTTACACAAAAAGAGATTGATTTTGGGGTATTTCTTTCCTCTAATGATGCACATTTATTCTTGAGGGTTTTAAATGTTGTTTTTTAAATCCCCAAACTCCAATTCCTACCTGAGAGTTTGTGACAGATATGCCACATAAATGACATATGACTAGAGAAAACTGAAAACAAGCTAGTTTGAAGCATTTTAGAAGCTCTCTTATCACTGCTGTTATATCTACTGTACATAAAGAACAACACACAAACCAATGAAGCTGCCTCTTGAAAAACATCTAGCTCTTCCAATACTTCACACTCCATAGTTAATCTAAATGAATAATATCACTACTTGTAGAGCTAGTCTTTCACCAAGATAGGCATTAACTGGGTTCTTTTATCTCTAATATCTACCTTCTCTACTGCTCCTAGGACAAAACCACACCTATAACCACTGAGTATCTTCCTCTGGTATTTTTGGAAGTAGGCAATAACACGTGAAGACAGGAGGAAGTCTACAGCCAGCTGGAAGCAGCAGTTAGGCTAAAGGCTGAGCAAAGCTATTCACTATAGGAACATTGTTTTCAGTAGTAATTCCCACAGGGCAGAACAGGGTCATCAGGAACAGCATGCTTTATTTATATGGCTTATAATCTCTGTAACTTCATTTTTTTTTTAGTATAAAGTTGTGCTGTACAATATGGTAGCCACTAGCCATATGTAACTATTTAACTAAAAGTGAGAAAAATTCAGTTCTTCAATCATATTAGCCACATTTCAAGTGCTCAGCCGACACCTGTGGTTAGTGGCTACCTGACTGGACAATGCGAAAGTACAGAACATTTTCGTCGTCTTAGTTCTATTGGATAGTGCTGATAAGCATCTGAGAATGAAAAAGTAACAGCACATGACTTTTTAAAGGGAAAGATATCTCAGTTTATTCTATCACTGTAATTACAACTCACCAAAAGGGAAACATTCTGAATTTTTTTTTTTTTAATGTCACAAAAAACTCTACGATAGCTTCCTACTTAAAGTAGAAAATCTGGAAAACCAGAAAGTAGGATTTGTTTTCACATGAAGTATCTGAAAAAACAAACTTGTATGCGGTTTACCTGCTGCCAGAATGGGCTGGGTTGCCAGGAAGCAGTACAGATGTCGCCTGCAGCATAGATATCAGGAAGGGATGTGTGCATATGATCATCCACTCTCAGGCCACCGTCTTCTCCTAGATCAAACTAAACAATGTTCCTCATAAGCATAAATGGTAAGAAAAACAAACGAAACATGACTTCATTTACAATAAAAGAACAAGTAAAATTTTTACATCATGGTTAGCTGATCTTTAAAGAGAGAGTGAAAAATAGCTGAAAGTTTAGGCAACTAAACTGAGTTTCCAGAGAATCAAATTCCTCATAAGACACAAACTCATAAAATTCTGAGAATTTCAACATCAAAAATACCCAATAACCATGCAACTAACACACTCATAATTATAAGAATATTCCTCAGTTTTTCTAAGGTTCAAACACTAAAAGGACAAAATTGTAAGAGTTTTTTCAAAATAGCACTTTTAAGAATTCATGAGGTATCAGTCTCTTACCAATATCTAAATAAATACGTTATGCATTATGTCACATCAATAATGACACCTATACTGGAATGTTAACTGCTTAAGAACATTGTGGCTCAGTGGTTGAGCAATGATCTAAGAACCAGGAGGTCATGGTTTGATTTCCAGTCAGGGCACATGCCCAGTTGTAGGCTCGAGATTAATGAATAATTAATACTTTAAAAATATGTGTAGACAGAAAACAAGATGGTAGCATAGGTAAATACCTATACTGCTGCCTTGCACAACAATTTCAAAACTGCAAATGGAAACAGAGCAGACATCATCCAGAACCACCAGAAAGCTAGATGAGTGGAAATTCTACAACTAGAAGGAAAGATAAAAGGACACTGAGACCCAGAGGAGCTGTGGAGGACAGAGGTGTGGAAAGGGCGAGCGGCTGAATATGCAGCTGGCTTACTTGTGGCACACAGAAAGGGCAGGAAGCAAGCACATGGCTAGCTCTCTCGTTTTGGAGGAAAACAAAACCTCCCAACTGCACTGAAATCCAGTTCCAGGTGAGACTTTGGGTACCAGACTCATTTGGGAAGAAATTGGACTATCTGGCAGCGGGCGAAGCTTGAGGGCAGCCTTCTCTGAGAGGTTCATGCAGCCATTGCCAAGGGACACTGAGACAGGGGCCTCGCAGAGTGGGGCTGTCTGCTCAGCCCTGAGACTCCACCCCATCCAAGCTGAGCACAGAAACTTTCAGCAGAGACAGCTGATCCTCACAGCCAATTGGCATGGAGGTCAACTCCCCTTAGTGATATTAACAACAATCTAGGCTTAACTACAACAAGACTGCACACAGCCCACAAAGGGACACACCAAGAGTGTCCACCTAAGGTAACTGGGGAAGCTGAACCACTGGGCCCTGCTAGGACACCTAGCATACAAAACCACTCCGTGAACTCAGGGAAGCAGCCAAAATGTGGAGACAAAAAAGCAGGCCACAAATGAAGGAAATGAAAGAAAGCAAAAGACTGGATATAGAGTTCAGTTATAAGGTTTTTCAAGAATTTCCTAGAAAAGGCCGATAAATTTAATGAGACCCTCAAGGATATGAAAAAGGAAATTAAGCATACACTGACTGAAATAAAAAATATTATACAGAGACTTAAAAGCAGACTAGAGGATTGCAAGAACCAAGTCAAGGATTTGGGATACAAAGAAGCAAAAAACACTTATCCGGAAAAGCAAAAAGAAAAAAGAAACCAAAAAGTTGAAGATAGTGTAAAAAGCCTGTGGGACAACTTCAAGCATATCAACATCAGAATTATGGGGGTCCCAGAAGAGAGAGAGCAAGATACTGAAAACCTATTTGAAGAAATAATGACTGAAAACTTCTCCCACCTGATGAAAGAAATAGGCTTACAAGTCCAGGAAGCACACAGGACCCCAAACAAAAGGAATCCAAAGAGGACCACACCAAGACACATCATAATTAAAATTTCAAGAGCAAAACACAAAGAGAGAATCTTACAATCAGCAAGAGAAAAAGTTAGTTACCTACAAGAGAGCACCTATATGATTGTCAGCTGATTTCTCAAAAAAAACTATGCAGGCCAGAAGGAAGTGCCAAGAAATATTCAAAGTGATGAATAGCAAGAATCTACAACCAAGATTACTCTACCCAGCAAAGCTATCATTCAGAATTGAAGGACAGATAAATAGCTTCACAGATAAGAAAAATCTAAAGTTCATCACCACCAAACCAGGATAATATGAAATACTGGAAGGTATTCTTTAAGAAGAGGAAGAAGAAGAAAAAGATAAAGATAAAAATTATGAAAAACAAATATGTATCTATCAACAAGTGAAGAAAAAATCTGATGAACAATATTAACTGGTGAATATAATAGAATCAGGGGCATAGAAAAGGAGTGAACTGACAATTCTTGGGGGAAAGGAGAGTGGGGGTTGCGGGAAGAGACTGGACAAAAAGAGTACACCTACGGATGAGGACAGTGGGGGAGAGGTAAAAGCAGAGGGTAGGGTAGAAACCTGGTGGAGGGGAGCTATGGGGGGAAAAAGAGGAATAACTGTAATAATCTGAACAATAAACATTTATTAAATTAAAAATAAAACCCCCAGAAATAAAAAAAATGAAAATGTGTAGTAGAAAAAAAAATATGTGTAGCGGGACCAAAAATTTCACCTTACATTGTTGCCACAGAGAAAAGGTTCTATATTTGGCGTAACTCCTGTAGCACTGACAATAAAATCACAGCCATATATATTTTCGTTGGTCAGTTCCACATACACAGGCCATATTTCTTTAAAGAAAGAAAGAAATTTATTCTCAAATGTAATCACAACATACATGAATATAATAATTAGAACAAAGAAAAATAAAAAGGAAGGCAGGAGGTGACTTTAAAACAACATCCCTTAATACTTTGTTTAAGGCACATTAGTTAATACAAATCTTAATATAATTAACGCATTTCCTTGTTTTGGAAATGATTACAAAACTATGGCATTCTAAATATTTTTCCTTCAAATTAAGACACAGAAATCTAACCAAGTAAATTTAAATTGATAATCATTTTACAAATTATTTCTTTAAAAATCTTTATTAATAGAATATACTCCTCTAGGGTTTAGTCCAACTAGGTTATTCACTTTTCAATGTTGTCCCTTACTATTCATATTCAAACTTTCTCTTTTCCTATGGAAAAATTAAAATAATTTGGAACTAGAATATCTCATACACTAGGCTTGGCTGAGTGTTTTTCTTCAAATGGCATTCTCACAAGAGTGGAACAGTGTCTTAGTTCTGAATTTATACATTTTTCAGACTGTTTGATTTTGGGGAAGTTAGTTCACCTCTGAGAAAATCAGGTTTTTAGTTTTTGTTTTGTTTTGATCTGTAAGATATTCTGATTGACTCACAGGGTTATGACAGTCAAAACAGTGAGTAAAGCCTTATACAATTTATTACAAAACTTTACATTGTAAAAATGAGATTACTTATTAAATTATCACTTTATTTTTACTTTTCATATTTAAATTTTATATGGAAGTCTGAAGTTGGTTTTTAATCTATATATATAAAAGCTTAAGTGACCATTAGGACGGAAAGACCGGAACGCCCAGTCGCTAAGATGTGCACTGACAACTAGGGGACAGACGCTCAATGCAGAAGCTGCCCCCTGGTGGTCAGTGTGCTTCCACAGGAGGAGCGCTGCTCAGCCAGAAGCTGGGCTTGTAGCTGGCATGCGCAGCTGCAGCAGTGGGAGCCTCTCCCAAACCCTCAACTCTGCGGCAGTGCTACCTAGCTGCCCTGGCAGGTGCAGTGGGCCGGGGCTTTACCACACTGATACATCCCCCAAGGAGTCCTGGATTGTAGGAGAATGCAGACCAGGATGAACACCCCCTTAATCCCCTGCCACCCTCCCCCACCCCCGGTGCAACAGGCCTCTAGTATAATAATAAAAATTAAGCTGCCTTCCTTTTAAATAAGTTAAATATCTTTTTATTTTATCACTTACCTTTATCAGTTGTAACGAACTCATTATGATGGTCTCTTGGAAATGTCAAGGACTTTTTCTTAGAGAGTCTAAATTCCTTCTGAAGATAGATATTCTTTACTTCACACATAGTTTCAATGTGAACCTTATGAGAAAACTAAAAGAGAAGTATTTTATTTAGAATCCACCTATTAACCTTTAAAATATTGAAATGCATCTGAAGTAATCTTTGAGAAAACATTAATTTAAAATAGGACAGGTGTTTTCACTGTGGTCTGTGTATGGCAATCTCTACCTCTGGGGAGTTAGAAGGCAGAGAGTGAGTTTTAGATGAATTTAATATTCACCTACGTTTGGTGGGCATGTAGGCCAACTCCTTTCTTAGCACGATGGAGTTTAAGGAAAGGGACCTAGCAATTCTTTGACTACATATTTGTAACCAGTTTTCAAAAAATGGTTCAAGAATTTAAAATGGCATTTAGACATGTTTAATTAATATAAGAAATCATACCTCTTTTGTTCCTTTAAGATTTAAGCCTTCATGCCAATCAGGTCCCAAGGCACTGCCTATATTACCAGCATTAATTTTGGTTCCTGCTTCCTTTTTCTTTCCTGAAGAGATAAACTCAATTCAAAATGCAAATGATATAAAAATTGCCAAGCAGATAATTATGCTTGTTCTGCAGCTTTTAGGCAATATAATGATTCTCATGCATAAGTACATACCAAATGATGAAACAAAGTCACCTGTATTAATAATGTTATTTATTTTAATATTTTGTGATGTAGAGATATAAAATGGATAATCTTTTAATCGAGTATTGAGTATAAACATAGTGGTTTTGAAATGTTATATTCACTGGTTAATATAAAGGGTAAGAATATTAGCCAGATTTTGAATTTGGTCAGTTTTTGGCATCTGACCAAATTTTGTGGGTTTTTTTTTAAACCTCTTTAAACTAAAAAGTCATGAAGCTTGTATTTACTTTCAAACTCATTGCATTTTTATAAAATTACTTTAGATCTTATCTAATTGTAGCATCTGTTTACAAAGATGCAGATGGACTGGTTTATTTAATTCACTTTAAATTTCATTTTAATTATACATATTTTTCATAAAATATATAAAGTCTAGAAAATCTAAACAGTCATATAAGGATATATAGAAATATTTATCTATATTCTTAGCACCCAAATATATTTTACTAAATTTTCTTATAGTCTTTTTCTATATGGTTAAAAAGATAGAGATTTATCTGTGAATTAATGAGTCAGATTCTATATTTACCTTCAGTTGTATATCTGGTTCTTTTATGTGCAATTTTAGCCTCTGGTTTTTCAGCAATGAGCTTTGAGGTCAAGAATTCAGCTGCTCCTGCATCAAAGAAAGTATTCCCAATAGCCTTATCTTTAATGGCCCAAATTACTTCACACCCTTCGATTTCATACCTAGAAGGAATATTAAAGTTACTTAGAACAATTTCAAAAGTATGAGTAGAAATCTTTGAACTTGCAAATAATAATTCCCTCCTATGGCACAAGTAAAGAAAGTATTTTGAGGCAAACCCAGAAAAAACGATCATAAAGAGGAATTTAACACTCTTTCAGGATAAGAGTTAAAATAGAATAAATAATAAAAGGAATATAGCCAGTTTATCAAGAACATATAAGTGACAAATATATATACTGGACATCATGTAAAATTTTATTACAATAAATATCATTTCAAAGTGTTCAGTTTTTACAACATAGTTATTATTTAATGTCTGCAGGGTTCCTAGGAGTGAGAAATACTTTATCTGGTTATAGTGTAATCATTACACTGTAATGGATGATGGATGGATGAAACACAGCTACCATACTGAGAATAGTTACTATTTGGTAACAGATATTTTATGTATTTAAATAATATTACAAAAGAAATAAGATCAAATGTGAGAATTTAAACATTTTTTAAGGTAAGAAAGCATTTCACTGTAAATAATAATAGTACTAAGTTATAGTTTTGGCAATAGGTGATGGAGAAAATTTGTCATGTGTACTAAGAATTTGAAGCCTCTCTTACATCTGTGCCTCCTCCCTTAAGGCCCAGTCTGGTTTTGATGCTCTATTTTTTCCTCTGTATTTCCCTTCACGCTGCCACAAAATTCATAATTATAATAATGACTGTCATTCCTGGTACTCAGGCAATTGAAGAACTCTTAAAGGCTCAATGGTATTCAACATCCTCTAAAAAAGTTGGGCAAAACCTAGTCTGAGCATTAGAATGGATGAAATTGAGCAAAGACGGGGCTTGAGCAGATTCCTTATTTTAATATAAATTTGTCCTATCTATAATTGGACCCAATTTTCTAATCTGAAAAATGCCCATACTATTTCATGTCAGCTACCTGCTGGAAGATAAAATCACAAAGAAAGTGAATTAATGCTCTGAAAGCTATAAGAGGAGTCTTTGATGATTTCTGAACTTGAAATATTTTAAAATAATATTTCATATTCATTAATGTGTTCACATAACATAACCCAGTGAAACAGGATGGGTATTAAGCAATAAAAAGTGATGAGGATTATGACTAGAATTTCTAAAGTTGTGCACATTCAAATTCTTTTTTTAATATAGTACATTAGAGGCCTGGTGCATGGATTGTGCACTGGTGGGGTCCCTTAGCCTGCGCTGGGGGGATCAGGCTGAAACCAGCTCTCCAACATTCCCCTGAGGAGTCCTGGATTACAAGAGGGTACAGGCCAGACTGAGAGACCCCACCAGGGCACGAATGGGGGGGAGGCGCCACGGGAAGGCTCCAGGATATATCCGGCCCATCTCACTCACTCCTGATCACTGGACCCCAGCAGCAAGCTAACCTACCAGTCAGAGTGTCTGCCCTCTGGTGGTCAGTGCGCATCATAGCTACTAGTCAAATGTAGTCAGACACTTAGCATATTAGGCTTTTATTATATAGGATGGGTCAAGTCTAGCCAGTTACCAGTTAATGACCCTTTGACACATAAAGCACTGCCTAAACTCATGTTTTCTAACAATATTTCTGCAAATATGTATCCCATGAAAGCTAAAATAATTAAGTGGATTTCTGTTCTTGAAAAAAATATAAAAAACAATGATATTATCTATGATTTTCAGGATAACAAGATCTTTTCTAGTTTGCCAACAAACACATAAATCACAGAGCAATTTTTAAAAATATATACTTACGCTAATTCAAGTGCGATACCACCATTCCCTATGATCATGATTCTTTTAGCATTCGTAAGCTGTTTCTGAAATTCCTGTATTGAAAAGAAAATGACACAGGGTTTTATATAGGGGGCAATAGTGGAAGCAAGAGGCTTCTCTGATAATAAGTCTCACTTTCCCACTCTTTTGGGATGCACCCTCCAATTAATAATACAAATTCTCTATGTTTCATCCTACACTGCCTCTCCTGATTTTCCTTATTTTTATGTCATTATATTTATTTATTTTTTGTTTTTTATTTTTTATTAAATTTTTATCTGTGTACATATCTTACCATTGCCCAACCCCCCCAATACATACCCTCCCTCCAGAGTTTTGTGTCCATTGGTTGTACTTATATGCATGTATACAAGTCCTTTGGTTGATCTCTTATCTCCCCCAGATCTCCCTACATTTAGAGTACTACTTCAGAATTTCAGCAGGAGGCCCTTTCTTAGTTTACTAAATTCACAACTATTTACCAAATCAATTTACTAAATAACATTGATCTATATCCTAGATACAGGATTCTTCCTCTTCTAGTTCCTCAGTTGGCACTCTCTGCAGGATGAGCGCACCGCAGCATGGTGGTTAAGAGCACAAACACTGGAGGAACTGGTTCTAGCAGATACTATTACTCAGGATGATGAACAAATTGCTTATCCTCTTGTACCTCACAGTCAACTATAAATGGAATTAAGAAGTGACTAAATCTCGAGGTTTCTGTAAGCATTAAGTAAGATGATGTAGATAAAGACTGTTAGGAGTAGCAGACACATAATAATGTCTACCTTTTATTTTTTAAAATGTACCATTATAAGGCAGCTAATTACTACCACCACCCTCCCTAAAAAGATCCACTGGGAAAAGCCAGTGGATCACTCTTAGATGTTCAAAAGTACAGAATACTACTATTGCTTCAGGATGACGTCTGAATAGCTCAGTTCCTCTGCCTACTATGTTAAGTTGCCATTTCTCTTAAATTGACCCCAAAACTTATTGTACAATAATATTCAATAAATAACCAATGAAATTTGGTTTAACTCCAGCACACAGAGTTTCTTATATATTTGGTGACCTAAAATTTCTACAACAACAAAAAAACAACGCTTAGGTTAATTTTAGTTTGTCCTTCATTGAGGGCAGTAGATAACTTAAGAAAGATCCATAAAGAGTACTGGATATGGAGATGAATGGCATGAGTTTGAACTCTACTTCTGATACAGTTTAATAACTACCTTAGTAATGATAAATTACTTTGGGGATTACATTTCATTTTCAATGACCTATTTGTAGAGTGGCAGTAATGACTCTCACATAGAATTATCAGGAGGATTCAATGAGTTCATGTATGTAGAGGGCTTTGCTGGAATCCAGTCATGAATGCAATCTTTGGTAACATGAATCCAAAAGGTTTACTAAAAGATAACCAAGTTCTAGTTTTCTCTAAATTTCTAATTATTTAATTAAGAATAGCTTGAAAGTAAACTATCAATTTTCAAGGACACAAAATATCGTTACATAAGTGTAAAATGATCACCTCATGGGACAGAACAACAAGGATCTTGAACTAAGACAGAGTATTGTGATTTGAAATCAGGAAGAACTTCTTGACAATAAGGTCAACAAACCCTGAAATAAATTAGCAAAACAAGTTGTATAAGGTTCCACAATAGAGTTTCACCTTGCTGGGATAGTTATCACTTGAGCAGAACAATAAACTGAGTGACTTTTCCGGTTTTAGAGTCTGTCATAATTCTGTACCACAAAGATCTTCTGAATATTAATTTCTTTGCTGGGGAGTAAGTTCAGTAAGTTTTGGATATGCTTAATTCTTTTGGGGAAGAGATCATTATATTATTTAGGTTATAAATCACATATTCCCAATCACAAGAATAAGTGTGTGCACAATATAAGCTGTACCCTTCAGCAGAGTATTAAATTTGGAACAGCATATAGCAGAAAGAAAATAGAACATCACCATGAATAAGAAACAAGACAAATTATAAACTGAAAACAAATTAAAATTGACAATAATAGAACCTTATAGCTACTTTCTGGTTTATGGGCCACAAAACAAAAAACCTCCCTTCTGCTCCTACAGTTTAGGAATTAGCACTGTAAGTGAAACACTGATTCAAATGTAGCAAAAGATGTCTAAGAAAAAAATATTCATGTTTATTCCCCATGACCCAACCCCAAAGTATTACCTGAGCACTATCTGTATCACGGATTCCTAATACATAAGGATTTCCTTCACATATCAACTTTGGTTTAGCTCCAGCACACAGACAGAGTTTCTTATATACGTGCTGACTGCCATCTTCTGTTAAAATGCACTGTAAAAACATAAGCAATGAAGGGGCAAGGAGACGCATTTATAAGTGCGTACAATTTCACTTTAAACAGTCAAAAACACAAAAGCAAAAAGTATAATAACCTTGCCTCTTGGTGGCACTCAACACTTTGTCCCAGTAAATACAAAGCTAAGTAAGCATAAGAATACATTCTTCAATTCAGTGGTTCTTAATCATTTTAGGGCCATGAATTATTTTGCAAGTCTAATGAAAATTAGCCTTTCTCCCAGCCAACTATACACTCTTTGGGGATTATATTTTCACCTAAGTGACAAACTAGTTAAACTTAAATCCAGCATGTACTGGCTTTAAAGATATTTATATTAATTTTTAATAACCTCATAAGTCTAAAACAAATGTTTCTGTTTCTTAATATTGAAGAAAATCTATAGATTAGCAGCAGCATTTAGAAAGCAGGCATACATAAGAGATGCTGGATTTCATTATAATGGTTTAGGGGTTAACTTTTGTGCCATCATAAAACTTGGCAAATCATAACAAAGCACTTATTACCCATTGAGACATCTGCCACCCATGCTAACTCTTTAGCTGCATAACAAATACATAAAATCAGTAACTCAACAGTGTAATCCATATAGAAACTTCATGCAAGTCTTCCTTCATGAAAGGAAGACTTATTAGTTATAGGCTTTGACCAAATTTTAAAAATAAATTTTCATTTAGCTACTATGAAAACAAACACAAAAGCTCTTTAATCGCTAATGTTAAATTTTGAAAGTAGAAATGAAGATAAAACACATTATTACTAATTCACTAAAGAATATAAAGGATGGATAAGAGAATGCAGACATATACCTCATGTGGGACTTTTCATTTAACTTTTCAAATGTTAATTAATGGGTAGCGCTCTAATTCATTCAAATGTCCTAATGTGAAATTTCCTCACAACTCATTAGTATCCTTTTAAGCCTACTTCAATTTGCAAATTAATTCACGTGGATGTTACAATGAGTAAGTACTACCACTGTAAGTATTAGAACTTATTCTGGTTTTTGGATTCAGATTTTTCATTATTTTCTGATAAAACTTTTCTTAAATTTTTTTCCTATCAAATGTGATGTGTTTTATCCCTGAGGGAGATATCATAAATTACAGGTGCTTTTGAGAAACATGTACAAACTCTATTTTACATCTTGCCTAAAGCTCATTTGAGGATATTGTTAATCACCTGATAATATCCTTTTCTGAGAATGCCTTATTCCTCACACTGCCTTGGTTTTGGCCTTATATCATTTTGGACTATTGCAAACCCCTTCTAATTTGGTTTTTGGCTACTAGCCACTTACTCATTCTTGACACTACTGTCAGATATATCTTCTTCCTTTTTTAAAATCTTTATTCAGATTATTATATATCTTCTTAAAATAACATCTATTTCATCATCCCTGCATCCACTTAAAATCTCTTTACTTTTTTTTTCATTAATTAGAAACTGAACTCAATTTCTTAGCATGACATAAAAAGCTCTTCACAATCTTATTTACTTATTTCTCAGGCCCTGTCTGCCAATCTTCTTTACTTAGCCCCACCCAAATCCCACTAACCACCTCACTGTTCCACATGCCCCTTTTTGTTTCTTTTGGTTTTTGAAGAATGCAATCTCTTCCTGGAATGCCCTTTGCATCTATCAATTCACTAACTATTAATTCACTCATATTTTAAAACACAGCTCGAGTATTACTCAATTTATGAAGTCTTCCTAAAAATCTACTAGCAGAGCTTTGATAATATTTCAATGACTGTATTTTTAACATGTCCATATAATTATAGGTATGCCTGTCTATATTCTCTATGACATTGAGAGCTCCCAGGAATAGATTCCTTATATTATTGCTTATTCCTTATATTATGGTGCCTACCACTTAATGTAGGGCCCAGAAAACAGTGGACACTATATAAATGTTAATGTTAATTTGAAATATAAAATTTAAATGGCAAAACTAAACTAGTTGCACAATCCCAATAAACTCACAAAAGAGTGTAAATTTTTCTAGTAATGGAAATCAATGTTACAAAATTTGCACGTAGGGACTTTGGCGGTGGTAGAGGTGGATTCAAAGAAAGTCAGGCAAAAACCTCACCAAGATTTAACAGAGCAAAACGATATTAAGGAAAAATTCTCTTACATGTTCTTCACTCTTCAGTTGCTTTACTCTGCATTCTATAACTTTAATGTTGGGAAAGCGGTTTTCTAACATGGTACTTGGTTGTTCTTCAACATCAAACTCTTCCAATACTTTAGAAATCTGTATTAGATCAAAGAGGTAAGAACACATGGTAAAAACTTTTTCAAGAACTTAAATAATAAAAATAGTTCCATTTTTTTCTATACATTAATTTTATGTTCATAAAACAAGAAAGTTGGTGAACTACACAAAATACAGTGGGAAGAAGATTTTGCATTTTAAGACTACCACTCTTGGGCAAGTCTGTTAGGTCCCTGCCTTAGTTTCCTGGATCAAAAATGTTTGTGGAGACCACTCTTCTATCATACTATGACCCAACTGATCTTAGACTCCTATTATAATTGTAATAGAAACTTGTGGAACTACAAAGTATTCTGAGATGCTTATTAGACATCTGCAACATTAATTATCTACAAGTGTAAACTTGGCTCAGAAGCACTTCTGATTTGTAAATACACATGCACACATATATTTATAATAAAAATATACATACGGATATATTTGCATTAATATTTAGATTTCATAGCAACTTTCCCCAAAAGAACCTTATTTTAAATTTTCTGAAAAGTAATTCAGAGTGGGAGGGAAATGATAGGAGGGAAAAAAAGAGAAGACTAGAAATGCAGTATCATTCTGTGTGCTTTTGGTATTCAATCTGAATAATTCTAAACTTTGAACTACAATTTTAAAATGAACATCCAAAGAACATTTGTCATTTAAAAAATTAAAACAGTACAATTACACTATGTGCTATGCAAGTTACTGCAATTTTTAAAAATTAATAGTAAGGAAGTTATACAAAGATTCTTACCTGCTTGAAATTTGTAACTGCTTTAATAACAGGAGAAGCTGTTACCAGGAGAATCTCTTCTGACGGGAAGTGAATTGCCAACTTATTAAAAAAAAAAAAGTAGGAAAAATATAAATAATTTTAGTTATTAGTACATATGACATGGAGGGTGAGAAAGGGATAGTGCAATTTTAATAAGATTATTAACCTAGGAAACAAATTATTGCTCCTTATCTAAAGTTTCCATTATCCTGAATCTTGTTCATATTTATAGGGTAGTGATGAGTAGTGTTCAATACTGTGGTATTGATTAAAATGAGTAATACATTTATACTAAATACTAACAAAGATCTGATAAGAAAAGTGGCATAAAGAGGTATTCCTTATTTACTGAACCTATTTTACATGCCAAGGGTAAGGAGAAATTATCTTCCTAATTAACAGTTAAACTAACTTCTATCTATTGTAAAATATTTTCATTGCCTTCAGTAGGATGAAATGACAGCAATCCTTTAATAATAAACATTTAGAATCTTAGTCCTTTTCCCAAGTGCTTTGGCACCCCCATCCTGCCTCTTCCAAATGCCCAACCAGCAGATACCCTGGGAAGACCAAGCCATTTTAATATTAGCCTTCACCTGCCATTGTTTCATGATTTCCTCTAGCTTCAAACCTCTCTTTCTCACTTTACACTTCTTGCAAGCATTTTCCTAACTCATGCTCTAGTTCACCTCCACCAATCTCTATTTCTATCCCTTTCCCCCCATTTTTTAAATTAAGGTATAACATGTGTACATATCTTCCCATTCCCCCCCATACATGTCCTCACCCCCCGTGTCTTGCATCCATTGGTTAGGCTTATACGCATGCATACAAGTCCTTCGGTTGATCTCTTATCTCCCCCACCTCTCCCTAACTTTCCCGCTGTAATTTGACAGTCTGTTTGATGCTTTACTTTTACACTATTAAAACTGAGCATGTTCAATTCAACTATACATCCTTAAAACCCATAGAATTTTTTTAGTATCACCTTATTTTAACTTTCTACAGTATCTGACAATATCACCACTCTCCCTATCTTTCCTTTGTGTATTCTGTAATTTATATATATATATATATGTGTATGTATATATATATACATATATATATATGTAGATATATATATATATGTGTGTATATATATATATATATATATATATATATATAATTGATCTCTGAGAGGAAGGGAGGAAGAGATGGAAACGTCAATGAGAATCATTGATTGGCTGCCTACTGCGCGCCCCCTAATGGGGATGGAGCCCACAACCCAGTCATGATCCCTTGACTGGAATCGAGCCCAGGAACCTTCAGAGTGCAGGCCAACACTCTATCCACTGAGCCAAACGAGGTAGGGCTCCCTCTGCTTTGTTTCCATTGCTAGACCAGGCCCTCAAAACTTCTTTATGCTATTAAAATAACTTTTCAATTGGCCTTCCAGTCTCATATTAACCAGCTATTCCTGTCCCACACATGATAACTAATCAGCTTTTAAACTTTTTCATTCGATCGCATTACTTCACTGCTCAAAATCACCTATTTTTAAGTTTCCTGGTAAGTTTTTAGCATGACTTATAAGATCCTTTATAATCTGGTCTCTGCCAACCTTCGCTGGCTTCCATCTCTGGTCACCTCCGCCAAGTGCTTTAAGTTTTGCTGCTCCCAGAAGATGCTATGCTTCACCCGAGGCTTGGAACATCTGTCTTTTCTTGTTTAAGGGGTGAATTTTACTCCTTGTTCTACAACTGAGACAAAAGTGTATCTCCTTGGAGAAAGGATACCTCTTCCCTCATTTACTGCCTACCAACTCAGCTGGCACCCCTAAGAGAGCAAACACACAAGTGAAACGATTCATTTACATGCCTCTCCGCTAGGCTGTGAATCCCTACAAAGGTACCATGCTGCTCGTATCTCACTAATCAGCCCTTAGTACAGAGCCTGGATCACAGGTGCTGACTTGGTGAATGAGTGAAAAATACATCTTAATATTAAAAGTTTAGCCCAGCTGTGATGGCTCAGTGGATTTAGAGTCATCCCATGGACCAAGAGGTCTTGGGTTAGGTTTCCAGTCAGGGCACATGCCAGGGTTGTGGGCTCGATCCCCAGTAGGGGGCCTAGACAGCCAATCAATGATTCTCACCCATCATTGATGTTTCTCTTTCTCTCTGAAATCAATTATATATACATATATATGTGTGTGTGTATATATATGTATATATATATATAATATATATATATATGATTAAAAGCTTAAATGTCTTGAATTTCTTGTACCATTTCTTATTATTTCTGAGATTGTTTACTTCAAGATAATTCAGTCCCTTTGGGAATATTAAAATTCATATAGGTGTAGATACATATGGTCTCATTACTATAAGCAGAAACACATTCCCTAGCTGCATCCCGCATACACCTTGCGGGTTGTTTTATAAAACGTGACTAGAGATGAAGTATCTTCCATCTTGGGAGTTCAAAGTGCAGGAAACGTACCTAAGGGTTCCGATGCACCAAGGACCTGTCACGTAAGTGGAAGCTGCCTTCGATCACCAGCTGACAAAGGGGCTGAATGTTCTCAGTGCCTCACTAGCGACAAGGCCTCCGGTCCGCTCCGACAGTAGGTCCTAACATAAGGTGACCAGGCGTCCCGATTTTTAACAATTTGTCCCGCTTCCCGCGGCGTTTTTAAAAAGTCCCGATTTTTGGGAAAAATCGGGAAAACGCCGCGGGAAGCGGGACAAATTGTTGAGAAGCGGAACTGTCCCGCCAAAAGCGGACGTCTGGTCACCTTATCCTAACAACTTTCTCTCTCCCCACTGCCCCCCGACCCCTCCAAATCCGCTAGGCGCCTCAGGTGAAGCCTGCGAGGCCCTGAGGACATCGAGGGCCACTACGCAGTTTCTAATGCCTGGGAACAAGCGGGAAAGAAAGCGGGGATGGGGGAAAAATCGTCTATAGAAGGACCAGGTAGGAGGCCCGGGCTTTCCACCTGCTGGGGTTGAGGAGGGCGGGAAGCGGGAGATGAGCCCGGAGCGCCGCCCTCTCCGGGGTCTAGGAAGGCGCAGAGCCAAGCGTCCGCCCTACCTGCTCCGCACAAGACACGCCCGCGATGCCGCCGCCCACCACTATGAACTTCCCCGCCGCCTCCATGTCCCCAGACTTCTGAGGGTTCCCAGACTTCTGAGGGTTCGCGGACTGCCGCCGGGGAGCTGTGGGAATCGACATTCCCTAAGAAGCCTCGGGGCCGGGCACGGGCGCTTCCGGTGTCGGGTCCTGGGAACCGGAGCTACGGGTGCCGAGCGGCTCACACTTAGTCCCTTCGCCAACTCGCCGCGAGCTGCGCGCTTCCGAGCACGGAGGCATCTACTCGATGGCAGCGCTTGATGTAACGGCTGTTACAGCTGAATGTCGCTTTCCCACGTGCACTTGATCAAGAGAAGATAGAAAGCAAAACGTAAAGGAGATGGGTGGCCAAAGGAAGCGTAGCGAAGTGTCTAAAGATAGATCTCACGAGGCAGAGCGTTCTTAAAATTAAATGCATTGCTCTGATATTCTCACAGGGTCCATAGAGGGTTCCTGGGGAACGCACTCATCCTTTCCCCCGCAGCAAACGCTGAAAGGGCATGCCTAGCTAACATAGTATCTGTCTGCTGTCAGACCACCTAGCTAACCACATCTCTTTGCCGTTAGCTGAACGGGGTGCCAGCTCCTGTGACCCCGGACTCCTGGGCTGCAGCGAGAGCTCTCCACATACACTCTAGAAGTCTTCCTCTTCCTCCCTTCTGCTAGGACAGGGACCAATGCCAGGACGGAGAATGTATTGGAGCTGGCAGGGGTGGGGGGCATTGTTTCCTACAAGCATGTATACAACTTACTCCAAAAGGATCCTTATTGCACTCTTCTGCAATTTATCAATGAGTTCTTTTCTTTCCCTTGTATAGCCTCAAGGAATAAGATAAGCTAACATTGGAAAAAACAGTTTTATAATCTCTTAGCACTCCCCTATTTTCTGATCTTTCAGCATGGCCTAGTACCTTGTGTTAAAAGCATTGGTGTTCTTGGTACTTGTTATATTGTTATTAGCTTTTGGAACGGAACAAACTAAAAAAAAAAAAAATCACATTTAACTCCACGGTATACCATTTGTGTTCCATAAATATCTGATTTTTTGCCCTTTAGAAAACTGGAGGCATTTCTTAAACTATACCCCACATCCCAAAATTCAATGTATCAAGTCCTGCCAACTCAGAAGTGTTCCTCAGTTCCCTTATTTTAGTTTTTATTGTGACTGCCCTCCGTTAAGCCTTCTCCTCCCACTGAGACTATTTTTTTTCTTTTTTCTTTTTTTTTAAGGTATTTATATGTGCCACTGAGACTGTTAAGAGAGGTTCCTCATAGACCTTTCTTCCTCTGTCCTCTGCTTCTAATGTACTCCTACACTACCCTAAGAATTACCTTACCAAAAGGGAAATGTGGTTACTTTTCCTTCTCATCCCTTTTCCTTCTGGCATAATTCCAGTTTCCTGAATACATCCAGGCTTGTCTCTTCCATTCCAGACTACCTTGTCCCACCAACAGAAATCTGTGAATCTGTGAACAGCAAGCTCAAATGCTACCTTCCCCATCCTTCTCAAGCAGGAATAGTCATGTTTATAGCATTTTATTGCATGTAAGAATGTTTATTGTGTTAGAGAGAGGTGTGTCCCTACTGAGCTTCCTTTTTGAGGAAAGGGAGTGTGCTTTATACACTTTGGATTTTTACTCAGTCATTAGCTAGAACTACGTCACGTGGCCATTTCAGCTACTAAAATGTCTGGGGAAAAAGCAGATATTTTAGGTAGCACATCCCAGTTAGGTTTTTATACCCACATTCCACAGAAATAGATCAGTTTTACAATTATTTATCCTAGGTTTGAAAAAAAATGCCTGCTCAAAAGCAGCACTGAATGATTGAACGCTAATATTATATCACATTTTCTGCTAGATTTTGGTCTACAAATTTATATATACTGAGTATCTACTACTATGTGCTACTTACTGCCCTCATACAGCTTACATTCTAGATCAGTAAGTTGAAATACTTAATATTTTAAATCACTAAGTTCAAACACTTAGCATTCTAGCTCAACAATTTCAAATATATTGGTAATTTATTGTTTTGTTTTTGTTCCTTGGAAATGTTCCTCCTAAAATGTCATCATTCTGATCCAGGAAAACTGATGCTATCCATTTTTGCTGCACAGGAATTTCTCTTTATCATCCCAGGAATTTCATTCACTTAAGTTGGATCACTTGTTTCCTAAATCCAATGACTTACTATTTTTCTTCTTTTACATCCGCACTTGTGATGAGTCTGTCTAGTGCAAAATGAGAAGCTGGGCTCTTTGCTCACATCTCAGGAGGGACAGCAGACCATTAAACCAACCCATGGAGCATGAGGCCCTGCGTGACTGCACGGATCACACATCCTTGAAGCTGGCTCTATTCTGAGGTTTTGGAAATTATAATCTAAAAATTATCTACTCCTAATGCTATTGCTGCTTGGGGAACAAATAAGAGAAACTTGACCTGAAGAAAAGATGACTTATTTTGGAGGAAAAGATGACTTGTTGTGTTTTGTGTGTATGTGTGTGTGTCTTGGATTCTATATCCAGAGGTACATCATTTCCCACCTCTGGTGTAACTGTGGCTTATAGAAAATGAGGTCTGCCCTTCCTACTGGACCCTGACTGGCAGATGAGCCAATAACCCTGGGGCAAAGTGAGCTCTCTCCAAGGCTCAAATTATGACATCTAAGAGCACAGTCATTTGAAAAGAAAACAGCAGATTAGGTTATAGATAAAAATGAAGGAGAATATTAGAACAAAGCCAAAAAATTTTTTATAATCTATACTAATAAAAGCATAATATGCTAGTTAGACTGGATAAACCAGACATCATTCTGGACATCCTTCCTGACAAAGCCGGGGTCCCAGGTGCCTGCGGACGGCCCAGGTGAAGCTGCCTAGCCTCTGGTCCCAGCACTGCGGCCCCTTCTTGCAGAGGCAACAGGAGAGGGGGCTGTGTGTCCACCCCTCTGCAGAGGCAGCCACTGAGGCAGCAGTGTGGCCTGGTCCTGGTACTGCACCTCCCAGCTGGCCTGGTCCCAGATTGCCCCTCTTCCAGTGGGCGGGGGGAGGGGGAGTGGGGCCAGCACTAAGAAGCAGCGAGCCCAGTTTCTAGTTGAGTTCCCCCCTGCTGCACCCCACCCCTATTAGCCAGAAGCCAAGCTCACAGCTGGCCAGCAGAGGTGGCTGGTGGCATGAGCCTCTCCCACCTCCCCCTTGGGTGGGCAGTAAGGAGCAAGAGGTCTTGGACTGCAAGAAGGATGCCTGACTGCCAGCTTAGGCCTGATCCCCGGGGGTCCTGGACTGTGAGGGGGCCCAGGCTGGGCTGAGGGCCCCCTCCAGAGCACAGATTTTGTGCACTGGGCCTCTAGTAGATATAATAAAAAAGATAAATAATAAAGAATGATTATTAACAAGGTGAAGGAAGAACAATAAGCCACAAAAGGAACAAAGGAGGAATGTTAAATCTGAAAAATAACTGGCAGAATGAATGCAGTAGAATGGATAAACGATCAGGTTGAGGAAGTACTTCAGAAGGAAGTAAAAGACAAAAATAAAAGGAAAATATAAAACAAAAGCCAATAGACAAGGAGACTAGAAATGCTAGTCTCCAAGTGTAAGAAGAATCACCGTTTTCCCTCCCATGTCTTTTGTGTGTCTCCTTTTCTTTCACAGTTTGATCTCATTTATAATACCTCTGACACCAGATATGGTTGTTGTTGTGTGTTTTTCTTCTCACACCAAGCAGTTCTCTCTGACACCAGCTGGGTATCCCACAATTCAACTCAGTTCTGATACTACCTACCCAGAGGCAGTGTCGAGATCTCACAGGTGAAGCACTCAGTACCACAAAACTGCTCCCTGTTCAAACACCAAGATCAGAGGTTCCAATATCCCCTCCTTGGGATCAACTAATTTACCACAGTGGCTCACTGAAATCAGGCAAACACATTTACTAGTTTATTAATGAATTCAGATGAACAGATACTTAGTGTGAGATCTGGGAGGGTCCCGAGCTCAAGAGCTCCTGATCCTATGGAATTGGGGTGTGTCTCCCTCCCAGTGTGGATGTGTTCGCCAATCTGGAAGCCCTCTGAAGCTCATATTCTAGGGATTTGATGGACGCTTCCACACATAAACACTATCAGTTATTGACACCATTTCTCTTCCTCCTTCCAATCTGGAGGATGGGATATAAGGCTGATAATTCCAAGCTTCCAACCAGGGCTTTGTCTTTCAGCCCCCAGAAGGAGCCAATCAGGAACCCACCCAGTGTCCCCTCAGTAGAACAAAAGATGCTCCCAGTGCTCTATCGCTAAGAAATTATAAGGGTTTCAGGAGCTCTGTGCTCACAAACCCACATGCTCAGGAAAAGTAGATGACAAGTATGGTGCATTCATCCAATGGAGTTCTATGGAGCAATAAAAACAAATGAACCACAACAATACACTATGCAACAAAATGAATGAATTATGGCAAAAAGTGAAAAAATCGAATCCTATTAAGTTACATATAGTCTGAAACTCTATAAAGTTAAAACAAACACAAAAATGCATTCATTCTCTCCTCTCCTCTCCTCTCCTCTCCTCTCCTCTCCTCTCCTCTCCTCTCCTCTCCTCTCCTCCTCCTCTCCTCTCCTCTCCTCTCCTCTCCTCTCCTCTCTCCCCCTCCCCTCCCCTCCCTCCCCTCCCCTCCCCTCCCCTCCCCTCCCCTCTTCTCTTCTCTTCTCTTCTCTTCTCTTCTCTTCTCTTCTCTTCTCTTCTCTTCTCTTCTCTTCTCTTCTCCCTTTCTCTACCTTCCCCTCTCCCGCAACACACTTCTCTCTCTCATTGCAAAACTATGTAAAAGTGAAAGCCAGGGATTTGTGAGCAAAAGATTCACAATGTACACAACATTCAAGTGGATGTTACTTTGGACTAGGTGACTTTGAACTTAAGAAGTAACTCAATGGAGGAAACCGTATGGTAGACAAGTAGTTTATTGACAAGTGTCAAAGTTTCATAAATATACCAGGCATGGGCAGTGATGAGCCCCTATTGTGAATCAAGGAGTATGATTAACCAAATGCCGTGTTTCTGAGTTCCATAAAAGAATTTTTTTTTTCCAAACAAGGGACTTACTATAAAAGGCTTACTGTGCACTTTTAAAAACAGGGC